ACTTCATGTGTGGACAATTACATAAATGGCAGCCTACTTATAGTAAAACAAAGCCCCTATATCTTGGTACCTACAAACCTCACAGCACCATGGTATCCATGAGGACTACAGGTTGTCAAAGAAATAAAATCATTATTAGTAAGAGAAAAAAGATTTGTAGGGCTCTTGACAGCAGGCATTGTGACAGCCATCACTGCTATTGCCACCATGGCTTCTGCTGCAGTAGCCCTCTCCCAAAGCATCAAAATGCTGATTACATTAATACCTTGACTCAAAATGTCAGTTATGCCTTCCAACAACAAGTTGCTATAGATGAGAAAATTGATATCCGCTTAAATTCTCTAGAAGCTGCTTTGCTGGCTATGGGAGATGAAATTCAAATGCTGAAATTCCGTCAAGATTTACTGTGCCAGGCAGGCTTCCAACATATTGTGTTACTGCAGCACCTACAATGCCACAGACTTCCCATGGAAACTTGTTAAATCACATGTCATGGGAGCCTGGGAAAATAACAGTGATTCCCTTAACTTACAGCCTTAAGACAGCAAATCTTAGCCATGCAGCGAGCACACAATCAGGTGGCTGTTCCTGCAGATACAGCAAAAAGTATATTGGATGAATTGCAAGGATTTAACCCTTTTAATACTCTAAAATATTCCTTTTGGTATTTCATTGGCATTGTATTATTAATGATTTGTTGTTTTTCCTTACTTTCAGTCAGAACTCAAAAGAGCAAAAGACAACTCCTCGGATTAAACATAGAAATTCATTGGGAGCTTTTAAGAAATAGAGTAGGGGGAGATGTTGGAGACCAGGCATGAACACTGGACTGGGATATAATGGAGTTTGCACAGTCTCTCCATGGTAGAAGTTTGCACAGCCTCTTCTACCATAATTTTCCCAGTACCTGGTGTCTTGACCTTTGTTCTCACATCTCCTTGAAGAATACAACCTGCTGTGTCTGCATACCAGCCCCCTGATGCAAAACTAGATAAAGTACCAGAACTGTTAGGAGACTCCCTGATGCCAAATTAATCAATACCTTAGACAAGATGTCCTGTGTGCCTTGATGATTCCAGAACTGATGTGTTGTAATTAAGCTTCATTAGCCTTAGGAAAATTAGCCCACCAAACCTCATTCCTTTTACCTTGTGTCAAAGAATTGTTAAAGCTTGATTTTTACCTGAGTCTTTTCCTTGTACTGACCTATAAAATAAACACTCTGGCTCAGGTAGGCGCTCAGGTTTCCCATCAGGAACGTGCAGCCCTCCCGTCCCCAGCTTTCCTGTTTTATGTCTATGTGTCTGTGTGTGTCTTTTTTCTCATTCCCCACTGCTCTTGGTCAGGTTCACGCAGCACACCCACGCAGGTCGTGGGCAGAGAAACAGAAAGGAACTGTCTATAGTTCACACCATCTGTAGTCATGAACAGAACATGATAACGGGCTTTTGTTACAAGATGAGGTCTGTGTATAGTCACTTCCCCATCAACATCTTACTCAGGAGAATGGGTCTCTTGTTGAAATCCAGACATTTTCTAAGTGGGAAATTCATCCACAGAGTTCATATGAGGACAGGTGTTGCATGTTCAGTATCTCAAGTTTAGAAAGATGAGTTAATCCTTGAAGGAAACGACACTGAACTTGTTTCTAATTTAGCTGCTTTGATTCAGCAAGCCACAATAGTTAAAAACAAGGATATTAGAAAGTTTTTGGATGGTAGGATGGTGTCTATGTTTCTGAGAACGGAACAGTTCAGCAGGCTGATGAATAAAATCCAAGTTAACCCAGCTACAGAAATATGATCTAGGCTTATAAACCAATGTGTGATCCTTTAATGATGCAATAAAAGACTTCTATTGGGAAAAAGAGAGATAAGGGAGTATTATTATTAATTGAGGATTTGAATTTTCTAGGGATTTTGAGAAGGATGTAAGAATGAACTGAAGGTGCTCATCCATGCTAGTCAAGAAAGAAATAGCTAAGCAGGGGCTGGTAGATTTAGACAATGAAAGGACTCACATGCTGGAGGACCATGAAAAAGACACTTAGGGGTGTAGGCAACTGGGTAGGAATTTGAAAGGTAGGGAAATGAAGTCAGAGAGGGAAAAGGGATTTTTCAGGAAGGAATGGTTTCTAAGAAACACATGGAAATCAAACCTGCTGACTGGTAACTCTTTTCAGGATCCCACTGATTTGGCATGACAGGGCCTCATCTTCAACAATTCAAGTCCCAATGCTCACCCAAGTCCCCTCTCCACTGTCCCACTCACATTAACTACAGATTCTCTTTCTTTCCATCTCTCTGCTAGGTCATCTCCCCTTTACCAGTAGCTTTTCCTGGATGGACTTTCATTTGCAGGGGTGTCTGAGGAACATGAGAGAGCAAGGGTCATCCATAGCATCACTGAGCACTGGAGCAGAAGCCTCCAGCCTGGATCCTACCCTCTCCATCCTGAGAAAATGACTTGGTCCTAGAAAGGGGTCCCACAGAACAGGAGGGGAAGCAGAGAAGAGAAAAACTGATATAAGCATGCATTTTAGAGATCTACTGGGGACTTGATTGCATTTCTGAGAATTGTACAAAATGTCCCCCACCATGTCCATCTGGCTGAGGAATAGGAGGCTGACACACATATCTGCAGCTCTCATCCTCAGTAGCTGAGGTTCCCCCCCCAGAGGCATCTTATACTGTTACTTCTGGCTGTACTTGTGCAAAGGCCAAGTGAACTCTGGGCAGAAAACAGAAGAAACTTGAGAAGAAGATACACAAAAGAAAGTAAGCACATGGGAAAAAATGTTCAACATCATTAGTCATTAAGGAAATGAAAATCAAAGCCTCAGGGAGGTACCATTTCATACCCACTAAAAGTCTATTAAAAAAAGATAACAAGTGTTGGAGAGGATATGGAGAGGATATGGGACACTTGTACATTGCTGGTGTGAATGTAGAATGGTACAGCACCTTGGAAAACAGTTTGGCAGTTTCTTAAAAATTTAAGCTAGCCTGAATTCAAACCCCAGTACTGCCAAAAAAACCAAACCAAACAAACAAAAACATTATAACCCAGCTTTTTTGTAGGTGTAATGTACCCAAGAGAAATGAGAACACATGTCCACACAAAGGCTTGTACAAAAATGTTCATAATAGCTTTATTCATAATAGACCAAAAAAAAAAAAAACCCAAAACAACCCAAATGTCCATCAACTGGTAAATGAATAGACCAAGTGTGGCCTAGCCAGATAGTGAATTACTGTTTAAGGAATAAAAGTGAACAGGCTACTGTTATATGTTATAAAAAGAATGAACTTCAAAGTCACCAAGTGAATTGAAAGAAGCCAGACATTTACATGAACTACTCAGAAAAGGCAAATCTGTTGAGATGGAAAGCATGTTGGTGGTTGTTTGATGCTAGAAGTGGGAGAGATTGATTCCAAATGGACCTGAAATGATGGAAATGTTCTAAAACTGGATTGTGGTGGTTGTGCAAGTTACTCACTTTCTATAAAAATCATTGGCGTATAAACTTAAAATGAGTGAATTTTTCTATGTAAATTATACTTCGATAAAACTATCATAAATTGAGCACTGGTGACTCATGCCTGTAATCCCAGCTACTTAGGAGGCTAAGATTGGGAGAATTGCAGTTCCAGGCCAGGGCAGGCAAAAAGTTCCAGAGACCTCCATCTCAATCAGTAGGTGGGTGCAGTGGCCAGCTATGTAGAAGGCTGAGGTCAGGAGGATCATGGTTCCAGGCCAGGCTGGGGATGCCAGCAGAAAAGTTTGTAAGAGTCAATGGAAAAAAGCTGGTTGTCATGGCACACACCTGTCATCTCAATTACAGAGTGAAGATCGAGGTCCAGGTCTGGGGAAAAAAGTGAGACCCTATCTCCAGAATAACCAGAGCAAAAACGGCTGGAGGAGTGGCTGAAGCAGTAAAGCACCTGCCTGGCAAAGCATAAAGCCCCGAGTTCAAATCCCAGTACCACCAAACAATCAAAAACAACCACCACCAACAAAAACATGTAAAAAGAAGGAAGAGAAGCAGAACTTAGCCTGAGCGTCCATCTTCAGCTTCTCCACGTTACAGCTGAAATCACGTTGGTTTGACAGACAGGACCTAGGACACTAGAGATGTCTAACAGGAGAAGACTTCGGACTTATTTATATTCAACTTTGTCCTGCTACAGGAAAGGTAGTTGTTATGAGAAGAGACTTACCCAGGTTTACCAGCTACAGAGAGTGCCAGTACCCAAGGAACAAAATCTTTGAGCAAGCTCAAGCAGACATCAGATCCATCCTCCCTTCCTTTCCCTGATGGGCCCCAGAATAGAGGCTCTTAACACAAACTTGCTGCCAACATAACTTTATTTGGGGTATGCTAACGCCAGGAATGGATGCCCCGCCAGAGCGGGGTGAGTGGGCATGGGAAAAGGTAATCAGTGCTACTGAGCCATACGATCACAAAAGGGACAGCAGTGGACGTATCCGGTATAGCTTCTCAGCGTTTTGGGAAGTCACCTCCTGGGGGATGAGTAAGGAATGGGTTAGCAAGAGAGGCAGTGAGATCAGGCTGGGGAGGGGCAGGGCAGCAGAGGGAGGGAGGTAAAGCTGATAGTAGGAGTGACCTCAGTTATACACCAGGTACTTAACAAGCGGTAGACACCTGACAGGCACTTCACACTCATGCTGTCCCCAAGTCCTCCCAGAGATGTCACCCCGTGTAAGGTGGTGTCACTCTGAGGTCACAGAGACTCAGCAAGGAAACAGGAACGAGGTATGATTTCCTCCAAACATCCAAATTTATGCATAATTGGAGGAGACATAAACTGAATGCTGAGCAGGGGGAAAGTTCAGATTGGAAGGACTCAGGAAGAAGAACACCTAAGATGCCACGTGGGTGTTCCTGAGATGCTCATTAAGGTGGATCCTGCCAGCCCTCTCCCCGCCTCCTGCCCCTGGAGCCCCGCCCACGCCCCGCCCACACCAGGCCCCGCCCCTCACGGAGACCCACCCTGCCAGGCACTGCACTGGCAGCTGTGGATGACCGGAAGTACCACAGGCTCGGTGTGGCCGTCCGGGCAGCGCAGGTTCAGGACCCGCACAGGGCTGTCAGGGTCTAGGCGGTAGCTACAGCAGTCGCACTGACTCTGCAGGTAAGGTTCCTGGGCGAGAGGGGTGGAGGAACTGAAGAGGGGCCAAACGGAGACTCCTCCCTTCCCAGGGCCTTTCCCACTGGGGGGCGGGGGGGGGGCGGCTGGGGCGGGGGCAGATCCCAATCTTCTCTGCATGCAGGGTCGCATGGGGGAGGAGTGTCACCTCAAAGCCCTCCTTCCCCAAGAAGCCCACCACCTTCACTCCAGCCCCCACCTGTCTGAACGTCCGACAACCTGCAAACTGAACGCTGCAGAAGAAAGAAGAGGCTTCCAACCCATGGGACTTACAGTCTAGTTGGAGAGCCAGGCTAATAACACATGAAACAGCACACAAGTCCTAACTACACAGTTGTGATCCTAAATACAAAGTGGTCTCCTTCCAGAGTGAAATCTCTTGCCTTAAAATTATAGAGTACCTCTTACAAGTCCCACTGAGCACTTGAGATAATTTTACCTAATAGGTATTTATAATTCCATTTTTAGACAGGTAATAAGCCCACACAATACCACATTCAAAAAACTACTGGAGTGATTTAGCAATCTCTCCTAACTACTTTCTTTCCTTGCTTTGTGTTTTAAATGTTTCAAAAGTGGTTTTGGAAAGCAACCCCAAACTGGTGCAGGAACACCTGGGGGGAGCAGTAGCATGGCAGAGGGTTAAGGGCAGCATCTTTGGGGACCAGAGAGAAAACACCATTGTCTTCCAGCACTAAGTAACCCAGGTGGGCAGAGACAGGAGGAAATGGCCTCAAGAGTAAAGGTGAGGTGAGGAGGGCTCTGGGAGGTGGCGACTGAGGACTGGGTCTCTATCCAGAGAGGATGCTGGTAGAATGGGTCACAGCTCTTCAGACATAGGGACAGGGTAGTCAGGGACAGGGCCTAAGCAGATCCTAACGATGTGTGGGGTTAGGCTTCTGGGTAAAGGAGAGCAAGCACAGAGTTGGCTTCTGGATCTGCTCAGGTGTACACACCTTGCAGGGAAACATCTGGGTGGGTCTCTCTGTAAAAAGCCTATCCCAAACATCCTCTCACCCTCAGGGTTCTGGCTTCAGAGTCAGTCTCCCTCCTCCAGGCCTTTCTTTCTGGGTGTTCTGGCTTATTTGTCTTGAAGGGGCACAATGGGTAGAAGGTCATGCTCTGGGAACGTGAGGGGCCACTGCAGGTGTAGATCACCACCTTGGTGAAAGCATATGACTCTTCACTACCCCAGCTTGACTGTTAGCGCTGTGAGAATGGACCACGTCCCTCATGTCCTCTGGGCTTTGCCAGGATCCTAGGCTGGTGGCAGGCCCTCGGGGGCACTGGCTGGTCTGTCTCCTGGGACTGTATGGCAGCCCTGGCTCATCTCAGGCATGACATTGGTGCTGGATGGGCAGTGTCCACTGCAGTAGCTCACTTCTACCTGGTCCAGGTGGCAGGGGCCCTTGGTGAGGTTGCGAAGCTCCGTGAGGTGCCGACAGAAGGCTGACTGCTCCTCTGTGGGGGTGGGGGGAGGAGATGGGGGCAAGGCAGAGGAAGAAGCTGTGACTGAGGGAATCCTGCATCACCACATGAGGGACAGAGCCTTGGGCTGATAGAGCATGTTGGGGGGGGTGGCCACTGCTATGATGCAGCCCTAGGGTCTTCACTCCCCCAATCCCCATGCGAGCAGGCTTAGGGAAGGTGGGTACAGGCCAGGGTGAACAGGTTGGGTGTGAGGGAGGTTGGGGAGAGGAAGAGGCACAGCAGAAGCACCCAAGTGTCTGCCATACCTGCAGCCTCCAGGTGGCAAACGGGACAACAGCTTCCTGGCTCCTGCACCATCACCTCATTCTGCAGAGGGAGTGTCCATGATTCACTTAGAAGGGTGGCCCCATCAACCCTCGCTGCCTGCTCAGAGACCTTAGGACCAGTTGCAGAGGAGGATCCCAGTAAAGAGCACGGAAGCCACCCAAGAAAGCTGTAGGGCCTTAGGGGTTACCTGAGCACAGGTGAGGCGGGGACAGTTCTGGTTGCAGACACTCCTCCCACCAAGGCAGCGGCAGCTCTCACAGTCCTCCTGCCATTCTGATCCAGGCTGTGGATGAGGTGGAGAGCCTCCTCTTGGTCTCTCCCAATTTTCTATACTACCCTGCTCCACCCTGGGATACTCTGGGAGTTCCCAGCCAGGAAAATGGACCAGGACTGGAGTCTAGCAAGACAGTCTCAGGAAGCCAGGCACCAGTGGCTCATGCCTATAATCCTAGCTACTCAGGAGGCAGAGATCAGGAGGATCCTGGTTTAAAGTCAACCCCGGGAAAATCATGAGACCTTATCTCGAAAACACCCATACAAAAAAAGGGCTGGTGGAGTGGCTCAAAGTGTAGGCCCTGAGTTCAAGCCCCAGTGCCACAAGAAAAAAAAATAGTCTCAGGAGGAAGGAGCATTGGGGTTCAACCAAAGTCTGGACACTGTCCCATGAGAGGGCTGAGCCTCACCTGCTGCTGGAGGACTGTGGGGGAGGGAACAGAGGGAGTTACAAACATAATTCAGTGGGAAACCTAGGGTCAGGAAGGGGTGGCTGTCAGCAAAGGGGGACATGATATCTCACCAGGTGGGGGCTCCCATGGTGCCAGCACTCGCAGTGTTCCATGGGGACACAGGGGCCTGCCTGGCTGCGGAAATGCCCTTGCTGACACACACAGGCTGGGGCCTGCGCAGCACTGCAGTTGCTCTGAGCCTCTGTGGCATTTGTTTCTGCACAAGTCCGCTCGCAGAGACCCAGCTCCCCAGGGGCCACCTGCTGCCACAATTCTCCAGGGGGGCACTCTGCAGGGAAGACAGTCCACCAGCTCTCAAGTCAGCCCTGAATCCAGCCTAGATCCCCTATTCTTCTGGGTGCCCCCTCAGGGGCCTCTTCCCCTTCTCCTGCTGCCTCCTGGACTCCAGCAGCCCCTTTCACTCTGATTCACACCCCTCCCCAATACCTGAGCCCAGGCCAGGTCTTGACCTCTGACCAATCCTGTCCACCCTGACCTCCTCATTCTCTGCACCCATGTAATATCCTATGGGCACTGCCTGCTTGTCAGAGATTCAGAGATGGTTTCCTGTTTCTACCTTTTCCCATAGTGACCCACCCTCAACAGCCAGGCTGGGAGTTGTCCACTAGGCAGAGGTGAGCATATGGTGGGGCAACACTGCATAGAGTAAAAACTATGGGCCTGGGGTCTGCCAGGCTTGGCTCCTTGTTTCTACTCAGCCCTCTGGACCTGTTTCCTCATCAACAGAAAAGAACCTTCCATTTTCAGGCCTTACCTGCAGCCCTGGGTCAGTATACACACCTGTAACTTGGTGAACACCCCTGGGGTTAGACACAGGGAATACCCAGGGAGCAATGAGCAGGGAGTGTGGAGCCTCAGGGCAGGGAGAGATCAATGTGGACAGAGGGACAGGGCATCCTGAAGGAGGTAGCTTAGCCAGTATTGCAAACACAGCCTCCCTCCCCTGCTCAGGCCAGCCCGGTGTTGGTTTCAGAGGAGCAAGCCACATCTCACCCTGACAGTCAGTGGGGGAGCAGCTGAAGGCTCCACCTTGGCAGGTGCTGGGAAGACAGAAGCACTGCTCAGAGGCCCCCTGGCCTCCTCCTTACCCCGCCCTCCACCCCCACCCCTACTCCATTCCTGGGCCCTCACCAGCTGGTGCAGTTCTGGGTGAGCACAGTCCCTGAAGGCAGCTCCTGGGCCTGCTCTTCAGGGGTTAGGGTGAGGCCCCATGGCAGAGAGTGCTGGATACAGGGACAGGCGATGAGGGGCACACATGTGCCATTGTACAGCAGCTGAGTGAGAGGCTCAGTTACCCTTGGGTCAATATCTTGTGCCTCCCCACTGACCTGCCTCCCCCATGCAGAAGTCAGGACCCAGCAACTGTACTCACCTGCCCTCCAGGGCAGCTGCAGCCAGGCTGACAGGGTACCCGCACACAGGTGGTGCCAGGGTGCAGGTGTGAGCAGAGGCTTGGACATGAGGTGGCACAGGTATTGAACACCTGGCCAAGGGGGCACTCTGTGGATAGTGCAGATAGGTGGGAGTGTCCAGGAAAGAGGCTCCCTCCATCCCCCCTTCTCTCCATCCCCCCACTCCACGCATTTGGGCCAGGGTGTGGGGCCAGCAGAAATGGAGAGGGGCAGGTCTCAGGCCCAGGGCACTCACTAGGGCAGGGCTGTAGGTTACACTCCTGCTGCTGCTTTGTGACCTGGGCATGGCATGGTACCCCTGCAGGATGCTCCCTGCAGCTCCGACTGCGCTCCATGGTGCCCCCACCACAGGCAGCTGAGCACCGGCTCCAGGCTGTCCAAGGCCCCATGACTGGACACTCAAGGTGTGGGCACACCAGGGACCCATTGATGCAGGTGCTGCGGACAGGGTATGCAGCAAGGGCTCAGGCCCCAAGCTGGGATAAACAGAACTTACACTCCCCAGCAGAGAGCATAGCCCCAACCTGCCACCCACACCTCCCACCCGAAGCCCCTGGCCAGTCTTGCATACCAGTTGTGGCAGCTCAGCTGGACCACCTGGGCTGGGGCCAGCTCCCATGAGGCATTGGCACTGGGGAGGCCACAGCGGCAAGAAGAGATGGGCACACAGCGCCCATCCTGTACCAGCTGTCCAGGGGGACATCGGCAGCCTGGGGATGGGTGTGGGAAGGACAAATAAGATTTGAAAAAGACATGAAGAGGAAGAGCATGGAAGGGGAACAGAGGATGTGCGAGGGTAAAAGGAAAGTGAATATGATCAAAGTATGTCATATGCATGTATGAAAATGTCACAATGGAACTCATCATTTTATACAACTAATATTCACTAATAAAAATGTTTTAAGTTGGGTGCCAGTGGTTCACGCCTGTAATCCTAGCTACTCAGGAGGCAGAAATCAGGAGGATCGCAGTTCGAAGCCAGCCCAAATAGTTCATGAGACCCTATCTTGAAAAAAAAGCATCACAAAAAAAAAAGGGCTGGTGGAGTAGCTCAAGGTGTAGGCCCTGAGTTTGAACTCCAGCACCACAAAAAAAAAGTTTTAAAATAAGCATTCAGTGCTGTGGTAAGAACATAATGGGTCCCTCTGGCAGCCAGAGTGGGTCTGCACAATCTCCTCCACTGCCCATGTACAGGACGTGCCTCTCTGGCAAACTCTGAGCGTGCACCCCTGGGAGCCCTTACAGCCACTGTGAGCACCCTCAGGGACACTGCGGGTCTTGATGCAGCCTCGCTGTACGCACGACTCAGCCAGTTGCTGAATGGCCCAAGGACCTGATTTCTTGCCCTATAATGATTCCCTTACTCCCACCCCCACCTCTGCCCCAGATCACACACTTTCTGAAAGCAGGAGGCAATGAAGGGGACCCAGGTATCCCCAGAACTCCTGGGCCAGGTGGAGCTGGCTACCTGGGCTGCAGGGTCCCTGCAGACACTGCACACGGTCCCAAAGGTCAATGCAGCTACGAGGGCACCGGTTGGCACAGTCAAGGGTGGACACAGTGTCCTGGGCCTCGCGGGACTCCCCTGAGGACCAAAAGGTAGGTGTCTGTGCAGGGGACACTCCTGCCCCCAGGGCAGCACCTTCCTTTCCAAAGCACATTTCTTTAGGTCCCTGGGTTCTGGGATGGTGGTTACCTGGGCAGGACCCCATATTGCAGCTCTCAGTCTGAGCCCATGGCTCCCTGCAGCTTCTGCCAAGTAGGCCCCCTGCCTCTCTCCAGCGCAGCCGGAAGCCCCCACTGCAGGGCACTTGGCAGGGGCTCCAGGGCCCCCAGGGACTCCACTGGCATGAGTCTGTGAAAATGAAATGGAAGTCAGAGCCAAGGCCCCACCTGCTTCCTGTGTCCACCCCAGTCCTTGGGCTCTACCCCTGCAAATATGTCCCAACACCTGCCAGGTTCCCTTCCTTCCAGCTGCCTTTGGCTCCCATCCCAGCTTCAAATCTAGCTCAGAGGCTAGCAGAGGGTCAGCAGATGGGCTGACTCCCATCCACTGGAATGAACTTATGGCCAGCCCCCGCCCCCCTCACCCAGGCCTCCTCCTGCTAGTTGACCTCTGCCATTCCTCATTACCATTGCAGGCTCCAGGGTCAGGGCAGAGGCGTTGCTGGCTGAGAGGTGCAGTGCAGAGACGAGTGTCCCCAGCCCAGGGCATCCCTGTCTCAGGGTCCAAACAGAGGCGGTGTCGATGCTGCTCCGAAACCAGCAGGGGGGCCAAGGTTGGAGGGAGGCTTGCAGTGTCTAGAGGCCAGTGCCCCTCCAGGATGGTCCTGGAGGCAGAGGCCAAGATGCTTTGGGGTAGGCAGGGCCCACAGGGTGACCACTCAGACCAGTCGCTCAGAGGCAGAAGACCTAGAAGGGCAAGAGCTTTGTGCTCTTTCCAGGGACCCCTCAACCAAAAGACCCCAGTGGGCAGGAAGGTGAGGCTCAGGATTATGACCATGAGGGTAGGAAACAGGAAAGGCTGAGGGAGCTGTGGGGGCAGGGAAGGGCCCTGATAGTCTGGGATCCTCTGGTTTTAGTATTGAAAGTTCCAAGTCCTGAAATTCATAGCCCTGGGTGACCACGGACAGTGGTCTCCTGAGGCCAAGATTACCTTCACAGCCCTGGCTGGCACACTGTAGCTCTCCTTGCCGGCATTCACTGTGGGAGGGACATTAAGGTCGGCTCTGAGAGGCAGGACCCAGCCCAGAGTTTTTTGGGGGAGGGGATTCATTTAGGGGGAGCCTGTGTTCTGGGTACAATGGGGCTAGATAAGGTAGTTGCAATGCCTGACATCTTGGGGCTGCTTGCTCACAGGGTGGGCTGGGTCCAAGGCTTGGCTTAGCCTCTACTAGAACCCCCTCCCCTACTTCCTGGCCTTGAACTTCTGCTTCATGTTCTCCCATTACTCACCATTCCTTACAGCCAAGCTGCAGGTGGTCCCCAGGGGCCAGGGTCACTCCAGCTCCCTCTCCTGAAGTATGCCAGCAGTTACACTGCTCTGGAGGAATGCAGTCCCCAGCCTGCTCCACCAGCCCCTGTGCGGAAGGAGACAGGTCAGGCCTTCATGGAGACCACTGTCGACAGAAAGCCCAGCACCATGTCAGCCTGCAGAAGTGCACATTCGTGTTGTTGAGCAAATGGGTGGGCAGTGAAGACTGAGGGTTTGTAGCAGGCAGGGTCACCATGTTGAAGGGCAGTGAAGGAAGGTCCTCTGTCCACACCTTCTTCTTGGGCATCTCCCCAGCTCCTGGCCCTCACCTTGGGGCAGTAGCAGCCAGGTTGGCAGGGTGGAAGGTCCTGACAGAGTTGGCGGCTCACGTGTGTGGCACAGAGCCCAGCGCAGGGGGAACCACAGGCTTGGAACTCAAAGGGAGGCATGCAGCTGTCCTCTGGCGTAAGGGGCCGGGAGAGGAGACAGACTGGTAAGGGAGCTGTCCAGGGACACCCTCCACTGACACAGCACATACTGCATGGTGTGTGGTCCCACTGAAGCCCCTTTGGGTCACCTGGTGAGAGTACAAGACTGTCTCCCTGCTAGCTATCAGGATAGAGCACTGTACCCCACCCCGCCCCACTGCAATGTGGCACCTGTTCAACCCATGTGTAAAACCCAGGGAAAGTGTCAGGACAACTAGGTCTCCAGAGTCAGGAAGCTGCATGGAGGAGGGGACTGCTGGAGTTAGGGGCCTGGTGGGGGACAGAGGAGAAAGATGGAGGGCAGCTTCAATAGAAACTGGGCAAGATATACTGTCCTGGGAGCAACTATAGGGGCAAAGCTACAGTAGGACCAGCAGCCTCCGAGTGAGAAGATGGTAGGTGAGCAGCTATGAGAAGAGTAGCTGGGGACAGAGAAGGGGGACTGAGTGCAGAGGCCTGGGGTCAGTGCAGACCCCGGCAACTGCCCTGAGGTCCTGGGGGCACTGGGTCTGTGCAGGGGGAACTGCCACTACCCCTGCTCAGCTCCCTGGACTCTATCCCAGGACTCACCAGAGCAGTTGCTGACAGGGCACGGCCGGAAGTGGCCATCCAGGCGTGTGCAGGGAGCACCCTTCCTAGCCTGGCCAGGCGCTGGCCCCTGGTGTCGGTAGCGCTGCTGCACCAGCACCTGGCAGGAACAGTGTGTCCAGGTGCTCCAGCTGCTCCACACACAGTCCTCTAGGGATAAGGAGGGATATCACTGGGTGGGGGGAGAGGGGACGAATCTCTAGGATCCCCTGGCACTTCTACAAGCTTTCCTTTCTCATCCCTACCCTAACCAGAACCTTGCACAGGAAAAGGGCAAGAGAGATCCCAGGGTTCAGAAAGGAACTGCTGGCTAGACTCCCTCTCACCCAGTAACATGGCAAAGGGAACAGATGGCGGGAAGAAGAAAGGAAGCAGCAAGATGTTGGGGTACATATAGGGACATTTCCGGGGGGAAGTCTGGGAGTGGGAAAACACATATTATCCCCTGAATTTACTAAGGTAGGAAACCAGGAGAGGGGCTTCATTTCCCAGGCACACTCACCCAGGCAGGGCCCTGGGTAGCAGACCCGGGTGTCCAGGTGTGGGAAGGTGTCATTGCATCTAGGGTCTGCCTCGACCAGCAAGCAAGGGCAGGACCCAGAGCGGGAGGCCAGGCCTGGGCCGCAGCTGCAGGAACAGGGTCCCCATGGACCCCAGGAGCAGGCCTCCAGCAGCTGTAGGCATGGCTGCTTCTCGCAGTGCTGGGTCTGGGTATCAGGGCCCTGGCAGAATGGCTCCCTGTGGTGAGGAGCTGGCACCATGCAGGCCCGAGTGCGGACCTGGCTTCCACCTCCACAGGAGACAGGGCAGTCAGACCAGGGAGATCACATCGTCCAGCCCATGGACACTGTGGGAGGGGACAGGTTAGAGGAGGAGTGTGGGGGAAGGAAAGATCCAGAGGGCTGGGTTGAGGCACTGGGTGGTGATGGGGTATAGACACAAGGTTAGTAAGGTGGACTGAGGTGGGGGTTGGGATGAACTTCAGACCTGTGCACTCAGTGTCTTCACAGATCACATCCTCCGGGGTGCAGGAGCTGGGGAGGAGCCCAGATTCAAGGACCTGCTGTTCAGCAGGACTGTAGGTTGCCCTCCCCTGCATTGCACTTACCACCGCAGACACTCTCCCTGTCACCAACTGTCCCCCAGGGCGTGTGGACGAGCATCATGCAGGCACAGAGGTGGGCATGGGGACTGGGGGCAAGCCTGGCTCTGTGACTGTTCCTCTTGACATTCAGGAGTCCACGAGCCAGACGTGGAGGACCTGAGCAGGGCCGGAAGCAGAGAGGGGAGAAACAGCCAAGGCCTTCATCACACCTTTGGCTTCTGGGAGATACCCAAGGGGGAAACTCCAGGGTGGGTCTGAAGGTGGCTAAAGAAAGGCTTGGATGACCAGGGACAAAGCTGAGCTAGGACATGGAGTTGAGCAAAGTCACTCACTGGGGAGATCAGAACTCACATGCCAGGCAGAGAGAGACCCGAGTGAAGTGGGGACACCTAATCTCATCCAGCCCCATACCGGAAGTGGCTCTGCTGTCCCCCAGGTCCACATGAGTGGCTGCAGGGACTCCAGGCAGACCAGCGACTCCAGGCACAGTAAATGGGAGGTGGGCAGGGCTGAGTGGTACAGGAGAGCTGCCCGGCCTGGCACGAGCAGTTGTTGCAGGCGTCCTGGTGCTGGCTTCCTGGGGCCCAGCTGCGGCCCTGGGCATCTGTGCACTCACAATGTCCAACTGGCACGCAGCTGCCATCCTGCTCCAGGGACCCTGTGGGGAAGTGGCCTTCAAAGTCTGGCACTTGTATCCAGGCCTGACCTGCCTTCCCCGAGCCACCCTAACATGCCTGAAGGGCCTTCCACAATCACCTTCAGAGCAGCGGTAGCCTGGCTTGCAGGTTTGGCCATCCTGACAAGCGACTCCCTCCTGCAGGTCTGAGCAGCGGCGGGGGCAGTGGTTGGTACAGGTGACCAGTTCCATTCCTTCTGGGCAGCCCTCCTCTGAGGCAAGAAGGTCCAACATTAAGAGGGTCTTGTGTGAGCCCTTTCTTTTCCCTATTCGGAACCTCCAGAGGCTCCAAGGCCCATCTTCCACCCTCCCCCTTCCCGCTATATGCCCATAGAAACCTGGGGGTTTGGGGAAGACCCTGGGATTGGAGCATTCTAAGTGCACAGTAAACTCCTCTCACCTATTGGTGAGTTCTTGGCACTCAGCTGGGCACCTAATAAATGTTAGCTGAGCTGGACTGAATTGCTGGCATCTCAAGACGCCAACGTTCTCACCTAGCGACTCTGAGGTGCTGGCTAGGACGGCGTACAGTGTGTGGGAATTTTCTAATAGAGGAGGTGGGGCTAGGAGTAGCGGAGGGCCAAGGCAAATGAACTGAGCAAAGATGGTGGGGGCAGGGCTCTGTTGTAGCGTCTGGCTCAGTCCAGGCACGCTCCTTTCAAGATCACCCCAAAACCCTCCAAAACATTTGACTGGACTGCATCATTTGCCAGCAGCTGGAGGACAGGGAAAGCTGAAAACAAGTTCTATTACAGTTTGGGTCAGCAGGTGATGGATCCCAGTAGCTCAGTCTGGGCCACGCAGGCACACACAGAAAGTCCCTACCCAACACCCAGATCCAGTCGTCCTCTGCTGAGGGTCCCAGTTTTCTTAACTGACTAGTGAGGTAAGCTTGTCCCCTACTGTGTCCCATAGTATTGTGGGAATGAAGTTAGAAGTGGGAGTGGAGAGGGCTTTGCAGAGGGAAGCCCACTAGGGATGGGACGTGGGTGTCATCACTGCCATACCACAGGGCATGGGATTGCAGAGCCGGGTGTGATGCCTCTCCCCAGCACAGAGGGTACCCCCATTTTTGGGTGGAGGGCTTGAGCAGCTTCAGCTCCTCAGGGATTGGCCCCCTCCACAGCTCCGGTCACACCAGGACCAAGGGCTCCAGCGTGACCAGCCCCCGGGCACTGTGTCAAAAAGAGAACAGCTCCAATCAGCTGGGGTCCGCTCAGGCAGAGGGGCTCCTCGAGTCCATAAGCCTCAGTCTGGGTGTGACATGGTACACTCAGGCAGGCTGGGTACTTTGGGGGAAGCAAGACACTGGGGCCTCACATTGGCAGGGTCAGGGAGGGGACCTGTGGCATTCCCTAGTCCTTCCCAGCCTGCTTCACCTGGGCAAGCACGCAGGTTGCAGAAGCGGTGCTCCTGGTAAGCGGTAAGGATGTCAGGGCACCAGTGTCCACCAGGCCCAGGAGGACGGTATGCTCGTAGACGGCGCTGTTGGCCTACCCCACAGCTGCGGGAGCATGGCTCCCATGGGGCCCAGGAGGTCCAAGAACAGTTCCCTGGCCCACAGACGGGACCGGAACACAGAAGTACCTCTGCAGGACAAAGCCAAGCTGGAGTCGGCAGGATCTGCCCCAGCTGCTCCTCACCCGTTCAGCTTAGTGGCAGACTTTCTCCACCAGGGTCAGCTGTGACCTCATCCAGACCTGTGGGCTTCTGATCTGGATCTGACACTGACAGTTGTGTAGCTTTGACCACTGAGCCTCCCTCTGTGTCCCTTTTTCTCACAGGGGACAGAAATCCCTGACTCACAGGACTGCTGAGGGACTGGGGCATGGCCTTTTGAGGAGCCTGTGGCCACATCTCTGTGTAAGGACCAGGGCACTGCTGGAAGTCAGTAGGGCTCACCAGCAGTTGCTGGGAAGGACCAACAATGAGGACCTGTGGCCTAGAGTCAGACACCGACATGAGACCAGATGTCAGTGTTAGAAGTCAGTAGTGGCTTGAGGGGTGTTAAATGTGGAAGTCTGGGGGCGGGGTGGACCCTGGCTGTGGTTAGAATGAGTTGTTTGAGCACGGTGCTTGGAGACCAAGGTAGATGGGGAGGCACACCTGTGCAAGAGGGCAGGTTGCAAGGTGCACCTGCGAGGAGTCCCCCACCGTGCAGTTAGCCAAGCAGAGGCGTGTACGGCTACGCCATGCAGGGTGAGTGGGGTCTGTGCAGCTCTGGGAGCAGGGGGACCATAGTGACCATGGGCCCCAGTTGCCTGCAAGGAGGAGGGAAGTGGGGGAGAAGGATGGAGGGGTGCCTCCTGATAAGTCAACCCCACTCCAGCCATGCCAGGAAGCAGCATTGGGAAGGAAGTCGCCCAGGGCTTGCTATTCCTAAAGGAGAGGTGCAGGGAGACATCTAGGGCTACCTGGAAGGCCTGTTGCTGGCTCCATCGTGGACCTTTCAGTCCCTGTGCCAAAGAAGACCCTACTCAGAAATGTTCCCAAGCCTGCAGTGCACCAGAAGCAGGCACCGAGGCTGACCTGGCACTGAGGCTGGTGGTCAGCACTGAGAGCTGTGGCTATCTGGCCCAGCATTCCCTTGGCTTGATTATGTCCAGTGGACCCTCCAGGCCTTGACCTTAGCACTTGCTCAAGGCCTTTGCTCAAGCTGTTCCTGCTCCCTGACATTCCTTCCTCTCCAGTGCTCCTCGGAGTTGTCTCCAACACTCAAAGCACATCAGTTGATGACTCCTCCAGGAAGCCCTCCTAAACTATCCCTCAGGGGCATTCCCTCCTACCCCAGTTTTCCACAGCACATGAACTTTCCTACAGGGCTTACCACAAGCGTATCTGAGCCCTTGGTTTCTGAGATAAGGGTCTTATAACCCTTATCCCGCTCAGTGTGGTGTATCCAAAGAGGAGCCTACAGCTAGAAGGTGAGAGACTAAAAGATTCAGAGACAGCAACAGGGCTGGACAGACACAGGTGGGGACCAGGAGTGAGCTGAACCAGATCCAGCCAGCCAGATATCTGCTCAGAACCTTCCTAATCCCAGCCCTGCCTACCACCTTCCTGCTTCCCTTACCGGGACAGTCTGGGCTGGAGCAGTACTTGAAATCCTGGAGGGGCCCGTGACAGCCCAGGCCACCTGGAGTGGGTGTGGGGTGCACACAGGGGCGGGTGCGGGTGTGGGTGCCCAGCCCACCACAGGAACGGGAACACGGACCCCACGGACCCCATGGGCCCCATGGGCCAAAGCCACCACGGGCCTTGAAGCAGTCCTCCATGGAGCAAGAGAGTATCCCATGCACACAGGAGCTGAGGAGAGGCACAGGTGGAAGGGGCAGGGCAGAGTGAGCTAGGAAAAGGAGGTGGGCAAGCGCGGCCAGGGTTTCCTGATCTCTCACCCTCTCACCCATCCCCTCAGCCCCAAACCTCCCCCAGGCATCCCTGCCCAGCGACCACCTTTGGTGGTTCCCTCACCAGTTGCTGCAGCCCATTTGAAACATCTGGCCTGGACCCAGCTCATCTCCAGGCCTCAGTAGCTGACGTGTGTCTCCCAGAAAGGGTGGGTATATCCCAGGAACAGTGCTGGAGGCTCCCAGATCCTGTAGCAGCTCAGCCATCAGCACACAGGGGCATTCCTGGGTGGTGGACAGAGGAGACAGTAAAATGACAGGCTGGCCACCCACTGGGTACCAGTGTGCAGCCTCTAAGGAGACTTGGGGAGAAAAGAAACGGGTGGGGTAATGAGGATCTGGAGGAGGGCTTTGGGCTTCAAGAGGGCATTTCCCCCACACAAGTAGGGCTGTGGACCTGCACTGGGGGTGGAAATACACCATGAGAGGCATGCAGGCTCTAAGCTTGGCTCAAGGGGTCAGCCACCTTCTTGCATAGAGCATCCAGCAGGACACAGCAGGCATCAACAGAGGCCCTGAGAGGACAGGACTTGGGAAGAAAGTGCCTTAGCCAGGAAAAGGAGGAATCTGGATGCCTGAGTTTGATCCAACTCTGCAGCTGTCTGTGTGACTTTGAAGTGTCCCTTCCCCTCTCTGGGCTCAGTGTCATTGTCTCTAATTGAGTAGGTGGGACCAGGCAGCTAGCTGCTCAGGTCCCTTCTGGCCATCGCATTCTGGGACCTGCTGGTGGAGGCCACTGGGAAGGAAAGGAATCCTGTGCACCTGTTGGGCTTAGTAGAGCAAAGGTGGCACCTGCTTGCCATCTGCCCCACAGCCCGAGATGGGGACCTGGAGGATCCTGGTGGAGTGAAGACATGGGGTGTTTTCCCCACAAGGGCATGGCAGGAAACAAGGGGGCAGTGAAAACGCATGTCTCTTGAAGCAGAGGACAAGGCTGGGCCAGGAGGACAAGGCTGGAGGATAAGGCTGGGCCAGGGGAGAGAGTGGACAGTGTGGGGGAGCCATAGGGACTGGTAGGAATGCCCTCACTGCTGGGAAGACTGGAAGTCAGCCAAAGAAACCCAGGGCAATGTCTGATTGGCAGCATCAGAGGCCATGTGGGCATCTCTGAGCTAGACGTGGGCACCATGAGATGAGCTGGCGAGGAGCACTGACACAGGCACAGGCCCTTGGCAGCAGGTGGTCCCTGTCCCTGGGGGGAGCTCAGACACCATGGGAGGTGGCATGGCATCCACCTTCTGAATCCTCTAATCTTCCTGCCCAGATGCTGGTTGCAAAGGCCCCAGATGGCCTTTTGGGCCCATGTTCTGTTTAGAGTCGTGAGGAAGGGTCACTTTGTCCCCCAGCCACAGAGTCTACCAAGGTGATGAGCAAGACAGAGGGGAGGACAGGGCCCTGGACTCCTGGCCATCTGAGTTCTGACCTGGACACAGGCTGAGTGGTGCTGGAAGGTACCCTCAGGACAATGGCAGCCCCCCTCACAGCCATCAGAGAAGCAGGCCACCTGCCCTGTGACGTGGGCGCAGGAGAAGGGGCATCCCTCACCAGGCTGGCTCTCTCGATACAGACGGTCAACCGGACAGCCTGCCTCTGAGGCAACACGAAGTCAGTGCCCAGCTCCAATCCCCTGTCCTCATTGCCTATCTCTGGGTCCACTGTGACCTGAAAGTCACAGTGTTCTGTCCCAGGCAATACTTTCTCCCACAGGCTCCCCCACAACCTGTCTGCTTCCCCTTTCCCTTGTCCATCACTAACCAGGGAAGGGGCAGATGGTGGAATGGGAAGGGAGAGGTCTACAGTCACTCAGAGTCAGGGGCAAGGGCCACAAAGGAACCCAAAGCTAAGTGGGATTATGGGGGCAGAGTCTGACCGGGGCTTACCTCTGCAGACCTGGGTGTGACAGGTGCGGCTCTGGTGGGCCAGCCCAGGACAAGGGGGTCGAGCGCAGTGCCTGGAGCGCAACTGTTCCCCTCCCCCACAGGAAACGCTGCTGTCCTCCCAGGGGCCCCAAGAACTCCACATAGCAGCACCAGGGCAGCTGGGCATCTCATAGCACTGCAGGATGCCCGCTACACAGGTGCTGGGGAGAAGGAAGGGGCTTCAGAGACAGGGCCTGGCCCAGTCCCACAAAGGCACCGCCGCTCAGCTCTACAGACCCTTTTGCTTACCAGTTGTCACAAGGCCCAGTCACCACCTCTCCAGGTTCCAGATTCTCCCAGGAGCTGAGCGCAGACCCTGCAGACCGGCTCTGGTTCCGAGGAATCCCTGCAGGGCACAGGAATGAGGGTGGGGACCCCAGACAGCTCATCAACCCACCATCAATCAGACACACCATCAATCCTTCATTCTACACCCCTGCCTGGGCAGGGGGGAAGTGCAGTGCTCAGTGGGCTGCTGGGTGAGGGTGAGGGAGACACTGACCCATGGCTCCTGGCTGGAATTGGCAGCAGCAGTGTGCTAGGGATACACATAGCCCATCCTGAGACAGCTGGCCTGCAGGGCACCCACAGCTGGGCTGGCAATCCACCAAGCTTTGGAGGCACACACTCCCAGGGGACAGGTCCTGGCAGGAGCGGGACAGGGCTGCCCACAGGGCAGCAGATTCTGGCCACCCCCACAGTCTAAGGCAGGAAACAAGTAGAGAGAACAGGTACTGAGGGGCCATCCCAAAAGGTAAAAGCCCTCTGCTCAGATCTACCACCTTGCCCAGGACCCACAGAGAGTGTTTTATGGAAGTGTACCAGGGGTCATTAGTCAGAGTCAAGTCTCCTTAGACTTGTGAGGGCTCCCCCAGGCCACAGATCTAGTGAAACTCTCACCCGCACATTGTGTGGAATTGTCCTGACAAGGGCGACTCTGTTCATGACCTCCAGGACAGGGCCTGCCTCCCTCAGAAGTGGGGGGCTGGCTGCATGCCCGGCTCCGATGAGACTGCCCCAGGCAAGTGTCGCAGAGAGACCAGGGTCCCCATGGGCTCCAGGCTCCATCCACTGCACCAGGAAGACAGAACCATCCACCTTAGGAGGCCTCAGGTTTGGGGGTTGGAGCAGCTATTTGGGGCCTCTGAGGCACGGGGTGGGCATAGACTTTGTGGGAATGTCACACCTGGACACACAGTGGGGCTAGGGCAAGCCTCCCTCTGATGCTGGGCTCCCTCCCTTGCCTCTCCGAGGCATGGGGCACCCCCGTGCTGGGGAGCAGGGCAGGCGCAGGCCCTGGAGCGGGATCGTATCTGGTCTCTGCAAGGCTGGGAGCACACTGTCCATTCTGACCATGGGCACCAACCTCCAGGCACTGCATGGAGAATGGCAGGCATGGACGTGGTCAATTCCTTCCCCAGTCCCAAGTCCCTCTGTGACCCTGGGGCTGCTTTTCCTCACCTCCCTCCAAGCTGGTACGTACCTGGGCAGGGCAGATCTGTGCAGTTCAGCCTCCCCTCCACGCAGGTGCTGGGCAGGGGTGAAGACCCAGGAGGAAGTAGAAGCAGCTCAGTATGGCCTGGGTCCCTGGCTGCTACTTCCTCCCCCTTCCTTTTGATCTCCCTGGGGTCTTGGGCTATACTCTCTCTCTCACAACTCTCTTGTGTCCCTAGAACCCACTCCGCGTTCCATCAGCTGGCTTTCTGGGAATGTCACAGCTGGTGTGTTTTACTGGGGAGTTAATGAGTAATCTGCAGCTGAGTATGAGGCTGGACAGTGGGGGAAAATGCCATATCAACAGCTTGTGCAGTCCAGCACTCCTTCTCCCCAGGAGCACACACCCAGCCCTCAGCAGACACATGAAGCTGGCTGCCTCAGTTTCTTCACCTATCAGACATGAGGATGGTGGGGTTGAATGTGTCCATTGGCTAAGACCAGGAACTCAGCCGCACAGACACCACGGGGGGACCACTACTGAGGGCCTCCTGCCACAGCAGTGGGGCCACTCACCAGTGGTTGCAACCATCAGGCCTTGCCAGCTCAGTGCCTGGACGGTGGCATTTCCCAGTCAGCAGGTCCAGGCAGCTGCAGTGACCTGGCTGCACACAGATGTTCCCATCGGCACTCAGTACCTGACCTGGAGGACAGTAGCAGCCGGGCTGGCAGTGCCACACGCAGTGCTAGGGGGAAAGGAAGGGAGGGCGCTGGTCAGCAGAAAACAAGGTCTGAGGGATGGGCAGAGAGTCACAGGACGCTCTGGAAGGATGGCGATGGAAGAGGCGGAAGAGGGAGGAGGAGGGAAAGAAGACCCCAGCCTTCAGCTCAGAGGCTATTTTAAGCAGTTTATGCCTTGAAGTTCTGGTGAGGATAGGAAGGGGAACAAGCCAGACTTTGAGTTTCCCTCCCTGAGAAGGGGGTGGGAAGGGAGAAGCAGCCCTGAGGACGTCCTATCTATTGGATGTAGGACCTGGTGCCATCCAAATGTGAGCCCCAGTTCCTCAGGATTGCAGATTCATTGGTGACCTGCATGAGTGACGTGGGAACCGAGGCATGCTCAGACCCCCCTAGAATTTAGGGAGCAAGGTTCCCAGAATATTAGCTGGGAAAGGAAAAAGCTGGGGATCTCTGGAGAGGATGAATCCAGGTCCTGCCTGTGGTGACATTTGAGGTAAGTTATTTATTTATTTATTTATTTTTTTGCTTCTCCTCTTCCCCATCTGCCTGGAGCCTTCCCTGGCTCCTTAAGCTGGGGCCTCAAAGCACCATGGTAATCTTCAGAGCTCTTATATAGTCTGGTCTTTTGATTCATGTCTGTCTTCTTTTCCCCCGGAATGTGGGAGCATGGAGATGGAGACCTCTGTGTTTGCCTCCCTCCGTGTCCTACCACACACACACACACACACACACACACACGCATGCACACACGCACAGAGTCAAGGTGTTGATGTGCGTGTGTCATACTGGAGATCGAACACAGAGCCTCGTGCATGTTAAGCAAACACTCAACCACTGAGCTACTTCCTCAGCTAAGAGTTTATACACCAAAATGTTCACAGTGCTTAAGATGATGTAGTGGGGTGATTTTTCCCTTACTATGTGTTTATGCTATGTTTGAAATACAATTTTTTTTTGAGAAACATTTGGTGTACTGAAGTCAAGGGCTGCTTGGTGAGACTGGCTCTCTTTGGAACAGGGGATCACCAGCTTGGTGTGCACCATTATAAACTGAAGCCCAGGATCTCACCATCCCCAGCAGGGCTGGCTGCTCAGCACCAGGTAAGAAAAGACCATGAGCCCAAAGCCTGCCCGCCAACATGGTGACCCTCAGGTCAAGGGACTCACCACTAGGTCATCACAGGAGCGGGGACAGGGAGGACCACAGGAGCTGTACTCAGCTCCTTCAATGGTGGTGCAGTTGGTCACTGGGAGGAGGACAGGATGGCCTGAGAGTAGTGTGAGTCCACCTGGCCTACCTCCCAGTACTGCATCCCCCAGCGTCTCCTTCTCTACTCCCTGACCCCACCCCATCCCTGGCAAGTACCTGGGCATGGCCGAGCCTGGCACACCTCCCCCTGGGCCTGAGGCCCCTCACAGAAATCCCCCAGGCCCTGGGGTGATGGCTGGTCACAGACTCGGATCCGGCTCCGCAGGCCTCCCCCACAGCTCCAACTACAGCTTGACCAGGGCCCCCACGGACCCCAGCCCCCTGCTCCTGGGGGAAGAGCAGAGGAAGGGGTGTGGAATGACTTGGCACAGTCTGGGGGCAGCTGGGGCAAGGTGATATCCACAGGGACAGGGTCCCACCCTGGATTCCAGGGAAGGGTCAGCCTATGCACTGGCAGATACTTACGATCACACCCTGGTAGGAAGCAGGGCTCCTCCTCAGCCTCAGGGCCTGGGCAGAGGGGTGTGGGCATGGCCGATGGGGATGGCAGAGTCAGACTGGATGGTGCGATGCTGGGGGACATGGCACAGAATCGGTGCTGGTGGCGTCGGGCGGGGCCACAGGAAGCTGAGCATACACTCCATGGGGTCCAGGGTAACCATATAGGCTGGCCTTGGGGTGCAAGGGGGTGCGAAGAGAAGGTGAACAAGACAGGCTAGGTAGAGTGTGATGCATCAAGATGGATGCCTTTCACCCTCCGTCTTCCTTCACCTCTCTCAAAGCACTCCCCTCCCACTGCCCCCTTCCGCCCAAGCCCACCACTGCTCAGGGAGGAAGCAGAGGCACATGAGGACTGAGGACCCTTTCTCACCCTCCTCACAAGGCCAGGAGCTGCAGTTGACAATGAGTCCAGAGATGCAGGAGCTGCAAGGGGGAGAACAGAGGCTGGTGGCCTTAGGACTGCATGCTGTCCCCTAAATCCTTACATTTGAGCTCTAGCCCCCAGCACCTGCAAATGCGACCTTATTTGGAGACAGGCTCTTTCCAAAGCAACCAAGTTAAAGTGAGATGGCCCTAATCCAAGGTGGCTGTTGTCCTTATATGACAAGGGGATTTGCACACAGAAGTGCACAGAAGGAAGAGGTGGGAAGAGACACAGGGAGAAGATGGCCATATTCAGGCCCAGAAATGCCAGATTGCTGGCAAAAAAGAGGAGGAAAGAGGCGGGAACAGGATCTCCCCATGGTCTCAGATAGCTGCCAATACCCTGACCGTCTATGTCCGTTGTTCAAGCCCTCCAGAGTTGTGTGTGTGTGTGTGTGTGTGTGTGTGTGTGTGTGTGTGAGACTTTGCTACAGCAGCTGTGGAAACTAAGACAGGCATGAAGAGAGAAGAGGGTGCCTGCTAGGCAAGTGTTCTACCACCAAGCCCCACCACCAGCCCCTAAGAGGAAACAGATGGGGATGGTGGAAGGATGGTCGCAGGCAGGTTGTGCCTGAGAGAGCTGAATGGTTGTGCCTGAGAAGGGCCTGCGTCTCTGTGGCCAACAGAAGCCAATACCCCCCTGGCTACTGAGGAGTGACAGCTGCACAGCTGTGTGCTCAGGGGCCACAGGGCCATTGCAAGACTGTGGGTCTTACCAGTTCTCACATGGACGAAACACAGCACTGCCTGGGGGACAGAGGCGCCCCCTGTGGGTACAGGGGCAGTCCTGGGTGGGCACACATACATTGTTCTAGAATGGAAAGCCTTCCATCATCTCTGGTTCCAACCAGTGGGGAGGGGTACCTCCCCACTTAAAGCCAGCCCCCTATTCCTCCAATTCCACCCACGATCCTTCCATAAACAGCTCTTTGCAGTCCCCTTTAGGTAAACACAGACCCTCAGCTACAGGGAATATGGGGCATGGACCCCTTCACCACTTCGTGGAAGAAAAAGGCCCTTTTCCATTGCAGGACCTAGGAATGAACTATCAAATGAAATCAGCTAATAAAAAATATTCTATCTATTTGTATTATATGCTATATATAATATACAACAATATATAACATATAACACAAATATATATAATGTATTTCATATGAAATATGCAATTTGTACAGCAATGGTATTTTTAAAAACCCAAATTTTCACTAAGGGCCACGGCTCAGCTGTGGCTGGATTCAGCAGGTGGTCCTGCATCTCACAGTACAGCCCAGTCCAAGACTAAGCATAGCACTCAATAAATACCCAGTGTAACATAAGAAGACAGAGCTCAAGCCTTCCTAGAGCTATCACCACTTCACAACAGAGAACAGGGGTCCAAGGAGAAATTAGTTAGACTCGTCACCTGCTGGTTCCAGCCAGAGCTAAGCCATGGCCAAGTGCACTTTCCACAACTCTACAGTGTCTCTGTGTCCAACCCCAAACCTGTCCTCAAGTCCTTCCTGTCCCTTAGGTTCCAGCTGTGGCCAGGTAGGGAGGACACTCACGAGCAGGAGCATCCTGGATGGGCAGTAGCAGCCAGGGTGGCAGGTCTGGTTACTCCCCCTTGGGGAGCTGAGCTCTGCACAGGAGGCTGGGCCCTGGGCACAGTCCAGCCATTGCTGGCCCCTGGGACACACACCAGGCACTAGTCCTGGGGACACAGACATTGTTAGCACAACCTGGTGCACTCAGTTCTCCCCTGTGGTCCCAACCTGGGAGAGGTATCAGTCTGGTTTTGGCTGGCATTGTCATGGGGGCTGCACAGTGCTAAGGGATAGGGTTATAAGGCTCAGAGTGCCCTGGGGACACAAATTAGAGGGTCTCCAGGGCAGCTCTCACCTGCACAGGGCTGTGGGTTGCAGGTGGAGAATTCCAGGGGACTGTGTGGGGCATTGCCTCGGGTGCGGTTTCTGTAGCCTCCTCCACAGGGCACAGAGCATGGAGTCCACGGACCCCACTCACCACCTAGAGCTGGGGGTGGCACCCAGGTCATTGGTGGTCACTGCCAGTCCTGCCTCCCATGATCAGCACACTTCTTCTTCCCATCCAGACAGCCAAAGCCACCCCCCCTTCTCACACCCTCCACCCATTTCACCTGAAGCATCATCTCCCACCTCAGGAGAGCTTGCCTTCTGGGGAGAAAGTGGGCAAGGAAGGGTCTCTTAGGGGATAGACTCACAGGATCTCTCAGAACCATCCGTTAGGGGCATCTCTTAGGGAAAGTCTTTGCCCCTCTCATGGGTTGCTAGGAGTATTCTTGGCTCCTCTGTGGAAGGTTCTTTAAGGAGGTCTGAGGACCTGGGTCTCCATTCTTACCTTGACATGGCCTTAGGCTGCAGAATTCAGCCTCCATGTTGGGGCCCTGGCACTCAGCACCCCCAAAGGCAGCTGGAGGTGCAGTGCCTGCTCGGAAGCGCCGCTGAATACCCACATTGCAGCTGTGGCTGCAGAGACTCCATGGGGTCCAGGGGCTCCAGCCACAGGCCACTGCCAGGGTGATGGGGCAGGGTATAGGAAACAGGCCAAGCCATCCTGGATCCTGACTTCCCCTGGTGGTCTTATCTCTGAGTCTTATCTCTGAAGGGGCACAAGTCTCCCGTGGCCCCTGAGCACCAACCACCACATGGACACACCTGGGCAGAGCTCTGAAGTGCACACCATCTTGCCAGAAGTACAGGTGCTGCAGGGAGAGAAGCCAGTGAGGCCTGACCCAGCCTATCCCAGTCACAACCAGCCCCTGCCTTTGGAGCACTATGCACTTGCCCCAGGATTTTCACTCTGGGTCCTCCCACCAAAATCCACCCTCCGTGGGCTCCCAGGGTACTGTGCTGTCCCTTTGTCACATAATTTTATCAGCAGACCTTTTTGTAAGTTTTACTTTCCCCATAGAGTCCCCTATGGGACTAGGTTTGAACTCAGTGCTCAGAACTCAAGCGCTCTACCACTTGAGCCACGCCCCTAGCCCCTTTATATTTTTTATTCCACTCGAATTTACTAAACACCTTTTGGAAATGAACTTGAGTGACAGAGCCAGGTAGGAGTGATTTAGAAAGTTAGAGTTCTAGGAAGGAGAACTGGGTACTTTTCTTCCAGTGCGTGTTTTAAAGCCTATTTGTCAAATACTGAAAGACAGTCTAAGAAGGAAAAAAAAGAAAAAGCGGTGGGAGAGAAGAACAATGAAGAAAAGATTCTAAGGAGGAGCCAGGGGATAGAAATGAAACAGAAAGAAGCCAGATGCTTGTAACCCTAGCTACTCAGGAGGCAGAGATCAGGAGGATTGAAGGATCAAAGCCACACCCTATCTAGAAAATACCCAATGCAAAAAAGGGCTGGCAGAGTGGCTCAAGTGGTAGAGTGCCTAACAAGCATGAATACCTGAGTTCAAACCCCAGTACCACCAAAACAAGAAGAACAAAGAGAGAGAGAGAATGAAATGAGATGAAAGAGGAGAGGTAGAAATAGGCTAGAGTGCCCTCTGCTGGAAAGTGTTGGGCACTTCAAGATTCTGAGCAAAAAAAAATTCAGAGGATCCCCAAATAGGGAATTTATTCAGCAAAGAGAAACAGGAGGCTGGAAGAAGAGGTAGAAAGTCCCTCTCCAGTCTCTAGTTCCATCCTCCATCGCCCTTTCATCTATCTGAGACTCAGTCTTCTCATAAGTCAAACAAGGTTACCATTCCTTGCAAACACCCCTAGGTGGCCAGGCAGTATTTCATTTACTGTACCTTCCCAGAGCTCATGCCTGGCACCTGCAGCTGCTGGCAGGTTTGGAGAATAGAGGCAAGATGAACTCCCTGGGTGTGCATGTGTGCGTGTGTGTGCATGCATGTGTGCACAAAAGCGTGTGTGCGTCTCCATGTCTGCCCATCTCTGGAGCCCAGCCCCTCCTTCAGGACCACCCTTTCCCTGCTGGTGACCTACCAGTTGTTGCAAGAATCCAGGCGGGCCACTGCTCCAGGTGCGTAGAGCTGCCCATGCAGCTGGCAGGGGCACTGGCTGAGGGGCCAGCAGCTAGTGTTGTGCAGGAAGAGGCCACGGGGGCAGCTGCAGCTGGGGGTGCAGGAGCCTGTGCACTCCACCCCTGGGTCTTGTGCTAGGCACAGCCGAGGGCACGGACCCCCCTCCTGGTGACACTGCTCTGCTGAGCGGAATACCATGTCCCCTGGGCACTGGGCTGCATGGGAAAACAGAGGGGTCTTGGCAGGGGAAGGGAAGGGAGGCCGATGAGAAGTAGGACCTGCACACAATGACTGTTGATGGCCTAGTGGGCAGGATTGAGCTGAGGAAGCTCCTCCCTCCTCTCCCCTCTTTGCTCTAGTGCCTGAAATGTCCTGGGTAAAGAATCATGGCTTTGTTCTACCTGATACAAACACTTTTGAAAGCACACAAGAACACCAGTGTCTGGGCCAAGAGGACCAGGGAGAGAGGAGGGTGCTGCCTTCTCAGGGCAAGCACTGCTCCCCTGCACCCAATTCTGCCCCTGAGTGGGCTCTGCCCAAAGTGGCCAGTCTGACTGTCCTCCTTGGCAGAGTGCCTGGGAAGAAGACCTGCACCCAGCAGGGGCAAGCAAAGAGCCACAGCTAGGTGGCTGGTCACCAGTGGGTGGGAGGGGTACAGAAAATCCCGCAGCCTCCCCAGCTCAAGGCATCACCTGTCTGAAGCCAGAGGTCAGTGATGTGAGAAGGTGGGGGTGGCAAAAGGTCAAAGACATCAGAAGCTGCACTGGGCATGGGCAGGAAATCTGGTAACCTGTGCAGGGCCGCATGTTACAGTCTCTGGTCTGGCTGTGAGGTCCCTGGCATGTGGAGTTCCCAAGAGCTGAGCCAGAGCAGCTGCGCCCACGTGTCTGGATGCCTCCATCACAGGGGGCTGAGCAGGTGGACCAGGAAGCCCATGGACCCCAGCCACTAGGCTCTGTCCAGAAGATCCAAGTCCACGGTCACAGATAGCAAAAGTGAGGACAGGGATATTAGAGCTGTGGGGTGAGCAGGGGCCCCTATCCAAATCTCTAGAATGGTCTTAAACACTGTTACCAGCTGGCTTCCTTAAGGGATGGCTGGGACAGGGAGAAGCTTAAGGAAAACTGCCAAGTTTGCTCCAACCCCTCCACACCTCCCTCCCTGGGGACCTTGGAACCTGCTCAAGGGGTCATTCTTTTTTGCTCCTCATTCCACCCAAGTGCTTGGCCACACCAGGGATAGTAGGATTGTACCTGGGCACAAAGGGGCACTGCAGGGTTCCTTCTGGGTGGCCTCTCCTGGACAGGATGCATCCCTAGGGCTGGTGCAGAGCTGGGAACGCTGCTGCCAGCCTGGGTCCCCTCCAGGGACAAGGCAGCTCTTGGAGCAGGAGGACCAGGATGTCCAGGATGTCCAGCCCAGTGCCTCTGGAGGGGAAGATGGGACATGCACTTTGCATAGGGGCCCTGGCGTGGCTTGGAAAGTTGGGGAGCCTAGCCAGAACCGAGAAGCCAAGAAGCCAGACGGGTTCATGAGGATGAGGAGTTCTGCTCTTGGCTTAGGGCATGGCCTTTGCCCCCTCTCAGTTTACTGAGACTTTTGAGCCCGACTTCTCATACTTAGGTCAGGAACAAAACCTCCCACTGAACCTGGTCTGTTCTGAGGACCTCCATGGTTATCACCTGAGGGGCACCCAAACCATGGGAAAGGAGGAAACAATTTGGTGCCTTTTCTACTCTCTTAAGTACCTGCTTGCCACCTCCACCTGACACACACACAGCCAGCCTGTCAACCTCACCTCCTCCCTGCACTGCAGGCACCTGCTCACTCAGGCCTGTCTGCTCAGGCACCTGGGCCAGGTTTGTGGGAGCCTCAGTCTCTCCTCCACCAAAGCCCACCCACCCAGCTCCAGGGCTGCGTCTTGAACTAGAATGACTTTGCCAATCCTATTCTGTGGTGCTTCCAGATGTGGAACTGGGAGGGAGAAGGTGGGCTCTTGCCATACAGTACCTGTTCCGCAATCTGTGTGGCAGGCCTGTAGTTCCTGCCTGTCACCTTCACATGGAGCACCTCCAAAAGCCTCAGGAGGGTTGGTGGGAGACCTGGGGAGAGAAGTAGCCCTGGGCACCTGCCTTTCTCCCTCTAGCCCAGCACTTCTGCCTTTCTGTCCTCTATTTGCCACAGACAGGCCAGCTCTGAGCCCTTTTCCCCCTCCCTCCCATTTCCTCCCCTACTAGACTCCATACCTGAATCTGGCTCTCACTCCAGAGCCACAGGACCGGTCACAAAGAGCCCAAGAGGACCAAGCTGACCATCGCAGGCCTGGGGACAATCTCCCGGTTCACACAGCAGTGCCCCCTTCTCACATGTACTGCATGGAAAGGGAGAGGCCAAGCATGGTCATGAGTTTAGGAGCAGAGGCCCCAGCTCAGAGCCCTCCCTTGGCTCAGAGCTCTCACCACAGGCTGCAGTTGTCCAGCAAGAAGGTCAGCCCCGGCTGCTTCAGCTCTTCACCCACAAGGCAGGGACACTCAGAGAGGGGAAGGCAGTGAGAGTCATGGAGAGGAGCCCAGGTGGACAGCGACATCTTGGGGACAGAGTGGAAGGCACTATGCTCCACAGCAGTAGGAAGGAGGCTGGAACAGGGCTGGGCACCCTGACTGAGCACCCCTCAATTCTACTTGCTGGCTGTGCCTCACCTTCCACACAGTGTCCACTGCAACTTCTGTTGGCCTCAGGGTCAGGCAAGAGGGTGGGCATGGGGGCACCAGTCCCTTCTGCACAGCTTAGCATTCACATGCACACGGCCCTGCCCACAGTCTAGGGGGAGATGGATTTCAGGTGGTTCAGAGACCTGACCATGGGGTTCCATGGTGGGAGGCCTCTCCCAGCCCAGCTCCCCCTTACCTGTGTCACCTGTACAGGGCTGCAAACCACAGGGTATCCTCTCTTGGGAAGGTCCCAGACAGGAGGCACCACCATTTTTGGGTGGGGGGTCCACACAGCTCCTCTCGCGACTTTGGTGGCCACCTCCACAGGAGACACTGCAGGGTTCCCAGGCCCCCCACTCTGCCCATGCCCCAGCCACTGTGGGGGAAGGAAGAACGGTGTCCACCAAAAAGACCCAAGGCAACAGACTGCTTTAGAGAGGGGTGGGAAGAGCCAGCACTCTGTCTGGTGGTGACCAGGGACAGCTGAGGGCACTCAGGGACTTCTGCAGCTTCCTCATCTGTCCCAGGAAACCATCCACAGGTACTGTACTTCCCAGGACAAAACTCTAGACCCTGGAGTGGGGTGCACCTTGTGGAAGTGATCGAACTGAGCCACTAAAGCCAGGGTCGGGACCCAGGTGTGGGGCTGAGGAGACCCCACTGTGGTGGCCCCTTCTCAACAACTGAAGGGACCACTCCCTCAAATTCACATAACAAACTAGGCTACAAAGCCTTTGCCATGGAGCCCAAGAGCAAATGGCACAGCCAGCTGACGTCTGAGTTCCAGTTCCAATCACCCTCTCACCCTCCTTTCATCCTCTCGGTGCCTTCTGAGCTGGGAATGATTGTCACCCCCCCATTTACAGCATGAGGAGCCTGAGCCCATGATAAAGGGAGTCACTTGGCCACTCAGGCAGGCAAGAGGGATAGGGCCAAGGGAGCAGCTTTCCTGAAAAGCCCTTTAGGAGCTCAAAGCTATGACATCAGAGGGACATCTCCTCGAGTCCCAGAGAGGACGGCTAGATACAGGAGTCCCCAGGAGACAGGCACACTTCCCTGGAGAAACTCTTAGATGGGAACCAACTCAGGTGTCCCACTCAAAGAGGCCTGAGGAGGTCTGGAGGGCCAGTCCCCACTTCCATCTGGGTGTTGAGCTACCTGGACAGGCCTGCACGAAGCAGGACTGGCTACGGAGCTGGTCCAGCAGGCAGCTGCCCCCAGGCAGTGGAGGCCGCAGCAGCTCCCGGCGCTGGAAGGTGAGGCCCAGGCCACAGCTGTGGCTGCAGCCACTCCAGCCAGACCAAGGTGCCAGCACACAGTTCACTGCAGGGGACAGATGGGCTGGGGCTCAGAGGGGACTCAAGGCAGGAGCAGGGCTCTTGGGGATATTCCCTGCCCAGCTGGCACATACCACAGCTGTCCTCATCTCAGCCATCCTGGCAGTCAGGCCGCAGGTCACAGCGCCGCTCAACAGGCAGGCACTCCCCACTGCCACAGCTCAGCTGGTTTGGAGAGCAGAGGGCTCTTGAGGACAACAGCCCAGGGAGGGCTGTGGTAGGCACAGTAAAGGGCAGCGCGCCCACTGCTTCTGAGGTGTGGGGAGAGAAGAAAGCCATGTAAGTAATTTCTGGTTGCATGATAAACTGAGTCCTTTCAACTTCAGGTCAAGAATGGGGGAGAGTTTGCTGACCAGAGGTCCTGGCCTCCCTTTCTTTCTGATGTCTTTTGCAGCCTGCACCAAGGGCAGGCTTCCACCATGCGTAGGTGAGGTCTACCAAGAGTCTTTGGTCTACACAGATCTCACACAATCTCTCTACTTGTCACAGGCTCTTGGAGAATCCAGAGAAAGAGGTCAGGGCATTTAGAAGAGCAGTTTATTCCCTTGATTACCCGCTTCCTGAATGAATACTTTCTGGGGTGTCCCTTCTTGTGATTGGTTAACACCTGATTTCTCTTCTCCTGGTTGGAAGACCAGGCTTTAATCATAATGATCTACTTTGGATGGATGGATGGATGGATGGATAGGTGGATGGTTAGGTGGGTGAATGGATAAATGAATAAATGGATAGATGGGTAAGTGGATGGATAAATGAATGGATAGATTCATGAGTGGATAGATTGAGAGATGGGTAGGCAGATGGATGGATGGATGGATGAGTCTCCTCAAAGGCCAGACAGCTTTTATAAAACAGTCTGGATCCGAGGCCTATCTCATCCCCTGTCTTCACCATCTCTAAAGTCACGCCTCTGGTTATTTTCACACATTAAATTTCTCTCTACTTCTTGCTGCCCCATCCTCTCCCAGATCCATCCCATATGAACTGGAAATAGGGTGGGGATTGCTCAGACCTGAAGCCCTCTTGCCATCCACAGTGTAAGACAGAGTCCCTCTAGCTCACCGCAATGCCGCTCATCGAAGCCATCAAGACAGTCTCCCTTCCATCACACAGCTGTTTCTGCTCCACGCAGCCCAGCACCTCACAGGGTATCTGCCCAGGGCCACACCGCACAGGTGGGAAGGGCCTGGGAGTGACCTGTAGGTGACACCACTGTCAGCTGACTGGGAACTAGCTGCTCCTGCCTTTCCTCCCTGGTCACCTTGATCACGTCCTGGCAGTCCCAAACCTTCCTCCCCTTCACATCAGGGACCCTTACTTTCTGCCTTTCTTATGGATAAGGCAGATAATGGAAAAGTAGTGAACTGGTTTAGGAAACTTGGATCCTAGACCTGGTTCTACCAAAACTGACTTTGAGTGGTGTGATCTTCAGCAAAGCGACCAATGTTCCATGGCTTCCGTACCTTCGGAGAGAAGGTGGCCCACACAGGCTTTGCATCCAGGCAGAGGATACACAGTCTTACCAGCAGGGATCCCCAAAGTCACTGGGTGTGGGGGGAGCACTGTCACAGCTGCCATCCCTGGTTGCAGGCTCTCAGCCCCAGGAGATGATGTGGGGGTAGTGGTTACCATCTGCATGGATTCCCCTGAAATGAGGCAAGGAGCCTGTGAGGCTGGGACTGGACTCTTCTCTACAGGTGGAGGATAGAATAAGGTGATACACACCCAGTTCCATTTCCCACAAGAGGAAGTGAGACAGGGGATCACAGACCCACCCCACCCTGCGAGGACTCTCAGATCAAAAAGTGGGAATCTGTAGTGCAAACACCACAAGAAGAGTTTTAAGTGAAAGTAGAAGAGAACTTAGTTTTGATCTGGGATTTGTGCTATAGTCTCAAGAAGACACTCATGGCAACTTCCAAGTCCAAACTCAATGTAAAATAAGACGTTCAGGGGAGAGAAAGAACTGACGTAATTTAAGCAGAGCAGCAGCAGGAAGGAGCACTCCCAGAGACTCAGGGTGAGCCAGTTGCTACTGATGTACAACACTGTTTTTCAGCTTCCTGGCAGCTATAGTGAAAAGCACATTGAGAGACTCATTTTCTAGCAAGATATTCATCTTCAAAGACAGCTTTTTTTTCTAGAACCAGATTTAGAATGAGATTAGAATTCATCCCATGAGTCTATGTGTTATGGACCTGCTTTTCACAAAAGACACAAAAACATGGTTCAGCCAAAGTGCTGAATAACTTCCACCAAAACTCACAGGGAGGGACCTCTTACTCTCACAGATGAGGGAAATAAGGCCAAGGCAGGTGGCAAGGCATGTCCAGTATCTCCCAAGGGAGCAGGACAAAGCTAGAACAAACCTGCTGTTCCTACAGCCCACACGTTCCCTTCTCCCTGTGGAGATGGCTCTCCTGGGACTACAGTGCAGGTGAGAGACCAGTTGCCCCTGGAAGGCTGGCACACACCAGGAAGGGAACCTCTGCCATGTCCTGTTGAGGAACATGCTAACCTGGAACCCTATTTACTCTTATGATCACTTAGGACATTTCCTGCTAGCAAACTCTTCAGAGGTTCCGGACTATGTGATTGGGTGAGCAGAGGCAACACAAGCTGGGGCCAGGTGGCCTCCTATCCCTTCAGGAGAGACCAGTCCTGGGCAGCGGTCTGGGGAAAGCAGCCAGGCTGTGGGACACATATGCAGCCCAAGGAACTGGCTTGGAACCTCCCCATCTCCCCCAGTCCAGTCCTTATACCCTGGAATCCAGAAAGGTCAGCTACACAGAACCTGGCCATGACCAAGGTGACCAGTGTCTCCTTGACCCAACTCTGCAGCTCTCTCAGTTTGGAGGAAGTCAGAGCTCAGGGGGTTTGAACCTAAATTGTCACTGCTCCTTACTCTGGAAGGGAGGGTGGTGATAATGACAGGTTTGAGGAAGGGGACTGGCACACGTACCTGAGGGAGGCATGGATGATCCCTCCTTGTGATGTCGATGTTCAGTTTCTGCCAGACCCTGTAGAGGGAAAGGGCTCAACCACCCTGTGCAGCCCTGACAGCAACTCTGTGTATCTCTCTAGGCTCCATCTCCTCATTCCCATCTAGGATGCAGCTCTGCCCACAGCCCTGCCTGGCTGCTCCCTACCTCCATCTGCCTCCCAAAGACCAAAGCTGAGGGTGGAGCTGAGTCCTCTGCAACATAATGGGCTGCCACTCAGGCTGGGCACCTCAGGCACTGCCCACACCCTGAAGGGGCTCCAGGTCTTGTTCTCACTGGCTTGTCAGTGCATCCACTTCTGTTTTTCCACTGCCTCCCCAATATATGCACTCTGGGTTCCTGATAAGGCTGTCCATCAGTGGAAAGTGCTCCGCCTTATCTTCTCCATGTTACACAACCCCCATCTTTCAAGCCTTGTCCGGGGTGCCTCTGGGGACCCCCAGGCACAGTGCTCTTCCAGAATGCAAGAGTAGATGACCTGGCACCTACCCCATGGACACAGCCTTACCACTAGGCCTAGAGGACTCTTGTCTCCCAAACTTCTCCAGGCCAGCATCCTGCCTTGTAACTTCTCTCCACTCCCCAACTCCCTACCTAACACTGAGCTGGCCCCCAGGAGGCCACAAATTTTCTCCACAAATGGAGAAAATGCCACTCAGCTCATGGAGAGGAAGGAAGACACAGGTGCAGAAGCAGCACTGGCAAGGCAGTGAAGCCCTGGGGTCCCATCCCTTGTAGCCCATCTACTGAGTCTATAGGTTTCCCACTCACCTCTCTGGTCTGGGGGAGCAGCTCTCCAGGTAGGGTGGAGGAGAAGGGTGTGGAGAGGACTCTGGGAAGAAAAAACACCAAGGAGGCTCCAGAGGGTCTCCCATCCTCCCTAAGCCCATCACCCAGGAGAGAGCGGGGCCTCCGGGCCAGGGTAGGGCATTCAGGACAAAGGCATGCTCTAAACAATGCTGTCAGCTTGATCACATTAGAATCATGGGAGGGTGTGTCACGCACACATCACTGGCCCACCCTACAGGGCCGGGTGGGACCTGAGAATCTGCATGTCTAATGAGTTCCAGCTTCGGCTGCTCCTGGCCCAGGAGTTACAATTCAAGAGCCACTGAACTCCAGATGCCGCAAGAAGGCAGCAGGATGGGTCTGGGCACCCAGCTACAGCTCTAATGTAGGCAGTGTCCATGGTGCCCAGGAGTGAAGACAGTATCAGTCTCCTCCCACAAGGCTGTCCCCTTCACATCCAGATAAGGCCACGCCATACCTGCCAGTGCTGGCAGGCAGGGGCCCACAGCCTTCTTCATCAGAGCCGTCCTCACAGTCTGCAGCACCATTGCACTGGACCTTCCTCGGGACACACTCACCACTGGCACAGCGGTGCCCAGCCCCTGGGCATGGGGGCACTGGTGGGGACACTGTGGAGGGTTGTTGCTAAAGGCTTCTACTGTCCTCTGCCCATCCCACCCTTCCCACTCCCAGTCCAGCCAGTACCTGGCTCGCAGCCTAGTAGCTCAGCCCAGAGGGAAGCGGTGTGCTGGACACGATGTGCCACACCCTGACATACCTTGCCTGCACCATCCGGGCCAAGGTCCATACCTCAAGGTTCCCAGGGAAAGGCTGCAGAAAAGAGTGCCTGCTGACTCTTTTCTCAAGCTGCCACTGTGAGCCTGCTTGGAGCCCTTCCTCTCTGCCAGTCCAGGTCCCCCAACCTTCGAGGCATGGACTCTGCCAGAGCCCGTGCTCTCCTGGCAATAGCCACCAGATCCCTCAAGGCTGCAGTGCAGTGTCTGGTCCTGGTCTAAGCATCTCCCAGTGGGTTGAAAGAGCCCTGAGGGCAGGGACCAGGTTGTGCTCACAGCTGTGTCCTCAGGACTGGCCCAGCTCTGGCAGAGGTAAGAGTGAACACCTGTATGGACGATTCCTGCTCCTGCATGGGGCCTATCTTCCGCTGGGGTGGAGGGGAGATGCAATTCCAAGAGGGGGCCTTCACTGGTCTCTGAACTTCATATCTCCCCACCCCTCTTCTTTGCAGGTGTATAGCACTTGGCTGCCCAACTCTGCCACTTTGATGTTTTCCAACATCTACTTTTAGTGGTATACAGGCCCTCTGCTCCACAGAATGTAGTCCCTGCCACTTACCCACAAGCAACTGATGTGGGGTAAGTTCCTTGGGGATACTGAAAGCCCCTTGGGGACAAAAACTGGGATCTGCAAAGCAGCATGGTGGACTACTAGCATAAGGGGCCTCAAGTATTTGGTACCTTAGGTAAGTGCAGGCTGCCTGGCAAATGTCACCATAGTTGTGCCAGTGTAGACCATCACTGCCAAACTGGAATGAGAAGCTGGCAACATAAGTGTTGGAGGAACCAGTCCCTTGCACTATGATGCCTGGATCAGGGCAAAGGCAGGGATCAGCATGAAAAGCGCCACTTCTCCCCATCACTGTCCCCTCCTCCTCACTGACCAGTCAGGTTCCGGGGCTGCAGCAGGTCCAGTTGCAGGTAGGGTGGCCGGATGTGCCACTGTTCATAAGTGTCCTCTCTGGGACCAGGCCCCTCAGTAGGTGCCCCCACAAGGGCACCCCAGGTGGGGTGCTCCAGCTTCAGGGATGATGCCTGCAGGCTCCCCTTGAGTGGGTGGGCCAGGCCCAGGGGCGCATAGCAGGGATCTGGATGGAAGAGAGACAGGGGGACTGGAGTGAGGCAGGAAAGAGGAAGTCTGGGGAGATGGAGGTTGTGAAGAGCCCATGCAAGTGACCTCGGCCCAGGATGGAAGGAGGGACAGGCACTCCCTGGCACTGTGCTCCCCTCTCAGAATCCTCTACAGCAGCACGAGCCTTACCTCCAGTGGAGGCAAATGTAGGTGACCAGAGGGGGACCAATCTGTGGACTGGGGGCTGGAGCAGGAGCGGGAGTGGCCATGGGGGGCACAGTCTGTTTCTCTCCTGTGTGGGAGACACAAGTGTCAGGAAGAAGAGACATAGATCCCAGCCAGCTCTTAGGCCCACCTCACTTTTTGGATCCTTTTCTCCCCCAGGAACAACCCACCAGCTGGGAAGGGTCCCTCCTTCCTTCTGTGCTTTGGTAGTTTTCATTTCCACTGCATATTTGAAGAAATAGAATAAAACTTAGTCCAAGGCAACTTTAGGACCAGGATGGAGCAGATACAGTTCCTAAACCAGAGCCTAACCCATTACTGTCATTCATGGGACACCTTTGTGGGCAGTAGAAAGGAGCTGCTCCTGGATGGAAGCAACCTATGAAATACACACTTAATTATGAGAGTTTTACCTTGTGCAGGACAGTCAACCTTCTGACTAGGTTGTTTTAGAATGGCACTCACATGCTACTTTGCCACAGAGCATAACAGAGTATTATGAGCCAAAATGAATGACCAGAAATAGAAAATGGTGATAGATGGAGAGAGATCAGATGAAACATACACTTAATTTAGAGAGTTGAACCTCGTGCAGGATGGTCAACCTTCTGTCTAAGTTGGTTTTAGAATGGGGTTACATGCTTCTTTACCATAGAGCAATATGAGTAAAAATAAATGTGACTGAAAAGAGTGATAGAGGGAGAGAAATCCTATAAAACACACACTTAATTTTGAGAGTTGAACCTTACAGGATGGTCAGCCTTCTAACTAAGTTGGTTTTAGAATGGCCTTGCTAGCTGGAGTCTAGACCCCAGTCACCAATGACACTGTGCAGTGGACAACGTATACAACTGTATGCTGGCTCAGCCCTAACCTCATCAACTTGTCAGTGTCCTTTTCAGATACGGAGAGTTGAACCACCCCCAGTCCCTCTCAGAGTTCCTGCCAGACCTCCTCCCCTTGGGATTCCTTTGCCACCCCTGCCAGACCCACTCACCAGGTAGGGCACAGTGGCAACAGGATTCTCCCACTCCTTCCACCAGAACCCAGCCCTGTGGGGCACAAAGTAAGACCACTTGCCCACTTCCCAAGCCTGGTCTGCCCACATCTCCCCTCTAGACTCTGCCTGCCCCACACTCCTGGGCATCTCACCTGGGGGCAGCTGCCCAGTGGGCAGTAGGGGGAGCAATGTGTGGTGCTGTTGTGCAAACACTGGCACACGTGCAGGGGCCCCTGCGCCAGCGCTCCCCGACCTGGTGAACACGGCCCTGCTGCTCACAACCTTCACAGGGCTCCGTCTGGCATCTGAGAAGGGAGGGGTAGGCCCAGCCTGGGGAGGGGCTCACCTCAGGTCACCAACTACTCCACCCCTACCAAAAATGAATGTGACTGCAAACTGAAAATGGTGATAGAGGGCGAAAATGGTCCAAAAGAGAGGAGAAGAAGCAGTCTGTGCAAGCACTGCAGGCAGGCATAGCTGTAGCCCCCACAAGCCCTACCCCAGAGGCACCCATCCTGCCCCTGGACTTGTCAAGCTGCATTTTTGGGCTCTTTCTGACCCCCTTTGGACCTAACAGGCACAAACTGAAGTAGGAGAAGGTTGGGGTCCCTAGGGAGTCCTGGGGTATAGATGGGAAGAGCACAGAGCAGGGTCTTAATACAGGGCCCATATGAATATGAAGTACCTATTGTGAGAAGGAGCACACAGAAAACCTCCTAAGTGGGAGGTAGACGTGAGGGCAGGGTCCCAACTGCTACCTGCGGGCCTTGCGGTGGATGCCACGGCACTGGTGACCTCGGCCAGAGAGGCGGGGGTTGGTGGGGCTCCGAAAGGACCACTGGATGCTTTGGCTGTCACAGGGGCCCAGGCACTCAGCCCAGGGGGACCAGGAGGACCAGCCACAGTCCACTGAGAGAGGGTAGGAGTCAGAGCCAGGGAAAGAGCTGGGTGCCCAGCTGGGTGATCTGGGTGAACTAGGGCCCCTGAGGGAAGGGCCAGGGGTGAGGGGCCTCACCAGCACAGTCAGGGTTGGGCCTGCAACGCCGTGGTCGCCCATCCTGACAGATGCAGAGCTGGCAATCTGCCTTGATTTGCTGCCCAGGCCAGTAGCGGGCACCATCCACCAGGCAAGGGCACTGCCGGGGCCGCACACACCGCCCCTCACTGCCTAGCACCTGCCCTTCCGGGCACCAGCAGCCTAGAGAAAGCCCAGGGTGAAGCTTCCATGCAGGGTGCAGCTCCACAAACCCCATACCCAGAGCCCCCTCACCTGGGCTACTGCAGGGCCTGTCAGGTGAGCATGTGGCCTGACCAGAGATGTCATCACAGGTCAGAGGGCAGGGGGCACAGGGCTGAAACACCAGCTCCCCCAAGCAGGTGGCATTGGAACAACCCTCCTGAGGGCAGGGCCCTGAGAGCAGGTCAGAACCAAGGTCAGAGGTCAGGGAGGGAAGGTCTGCAGCAGGCACCAGTATCCACCAGCGGCCCCCATTTCCCCAACCCCGACTCCCCCAGTATCCTTCAGCCAGCACCCTCTAAATCCCAGGGTCCCACCAGCAGTCCCCCACTACTCCCCCAGTGTCCACCAGCATTTTCCCACACCCCCACCTGTGCCCTCTTCCCTTCCACTCACTGGTCTGGTGGGTGCTGTGAGAGTCCCCAGGCAGCAGGGCACAAGTCTGGCCCCCATTCTGGGGCGGGGAGCAGTGCCGTTGGCGTGTCATGGTGCCCCCGCAGGACTCAGAACACAGAGACCAGGGAGACCAGGAGCTCCATTCACCATCCACTGTAAGGCCAGGGACCATGAGGCAGGTTAGGGGTCCAGTGGCTTTCCTCTCCCCTCCTCACTCCAGGTCCTGCTTCCCCATGGCCCCTCACCTGGGCAGGCCTCGGTGAAGCAGACTTGAGACTGGTGCTCGGGGCCCAGGCAGTGCGGCAGTGCCAGGAGGCTGGGTGGGGAGCAGCGGCGGCTCCGGCCCTGCATCCCAGGCCCACAGTTCTGGCTGCAGGGCCCCCACGGGCTCCAGGGGCCCCAAGCCTCACAACCCTGCTCTTCTGGGGAGAGCCCTGCTTCCCATGACAAGTCACAGTCAGGATGCCCATCACAAACCTGAGGAAGCAACAGTTCAGAATCCTTCTTCATTGGGTACATGATGACTCTCTTCCTCACTTCCTCCCCCACTCTCACCTGCTGGAAACCAATGCAGGCACCACTGGGGCATGAATATTCTGGGCACGGGCTCCCTGTCTTGTTGGGGCCTCCTGGGACTGGCAGCTCCTCTGGGGAAAAAGGGAAAACACAGTTAGTAGGGACTGAAAGCCAGCTCTTAGCCCTTGCCATCCATGGCCCCACCAGTAGAACAATGTCCATACCACAGCCCAGCTCATCCTCGCCCTGGGGACAGTCTGGGGTCCCATCGCAGAGTCGCTCAGGGTTCAGGCACAGCCAGGGAGCCAAACCACATGGGAAGAGGCCTTGGCATGGGGGCAGCTCAGTAGAGCCTGTGGGTGAGTACGAAGTGTTCTCTTGTGCTCTTGTCCCCTCCTGTCACCTCCCTGCATAGGGGCTGGTACTGGAGGAAAAGGGTGAGTAGGAGGCATGGAGCCCACCCAAGATCAAAAAACTCTTTGCAAGGGGTCAGGAGGGGCAGGTCCTGAGAGGAGGAGTTGGGGCCTGTGGACAGCTCCTCTCTCTGGAGGTTGCCAGGTCCTGAAGGGCTGACTTGCAAGGACCCGATGGGATGGGGAGAACCTGAGGAGTGGGTAAGTCCTCCAAATAGACCCACTCCCTATACCCTCAGGTGGAGTGTCCCACCCTCTACCTTCTTGTCCCTTCTTTTTTGGCAGTACTGGGGTTTGAACTCAGGGGAGCCATGTCCCCAGCCTCTTGACCCTTGCCCAAATGTGAGCAAAGACAAAAATCCCTTTCCATTTTCCCCTGGGCCTGCAGAGAAGGGCAAAAAATTCTAAAGAAGGTTTATCTTTAAATTTTAAAGATCAAAGGAGCATAGAAGTCACTGAGTCTCTGATGTCTCTGGGCCCAGAGACCGCCACTGTGTGGCCATGCGATCATTCACCTGCTAACGCTGCAGGGACAAAGTTGTGGCTGGTGTTTGGGAAGAGATACGTCCAGCCTGTCTGGCTGTGCAGAGCAGTGGCCTCCAACACTCACCGGAGGTGTCAGGGCCCTCATCCCAGCTGTCTGGGCACTGCGGTCTCCCGTCGCACAGCTGTCCCAGGGACACACACTGGGGGCCACGGGCACAGGGCACATGGTGCACTGGGCAGGGCCTGCTGCAGCCATGCTCGTCACTGCCATCTGCGCAGTCCTCCTCTTGGTCACAGCGCCAGCCCCGCAGGGTACACTCGTCACTGCCACACAGGAACTCGAAAGGGCTGCAGGGGGGCACTGCAGGCGGCGCCTGCGCTAGGCTTTGGCAGGGAGTCCACCACTCTTGCAGACTGGGCTCGCCATGGTCTCCCCTTTAGTTTGGAGCCCACCCTCCCGGAGTCCAACCCCTCTTGCATTCTGATGTCCTATTGATTTTCCAAAAGCCTCTCCCCTTCTCCAAGAACTTCCATTAGATTACCCTTTGCTCAAAGGAAGACCTTGAATGCCAGGAACTAAGTTCGGACCCTCAACCCCACCTCTCAAACATCCTTAAGCTCATTCTAAGGTCTCCATCCCCAGAAGCCCACCCAAATGCCTCCTTCTGAGATGCTCTCCCGTCCCCTTCCTGGGGGGGCTCTCAGGCCTCCAGCTTTCTCACCCCCATTTCCTCCAGGAGACTCACCAGGGCTGGCACTGCCCAGGGGATTTGGTACACTGTCCAGGGAACCAGTGGAGGGGCCAGGCACGGTGCCAGCAGGGGGTGTGGGCAGAGAGGGAAGGAGGCAGTGCCCAGGCCCCTCATCATCTCCATCTGGGCAGTCCCAGACTCCATCACACAGCTGGATGGCCCCGACGCAAGTGCCGTCAGCACAGGACACCTCCCCAGGGATGCAGTTCACCTGCCCTGCAGTCGAGAGAAGAGGTGGTCTCAGAACAGTACTCCTGATTTTCACTGCTCGGGGTGCCCCTACTCACTCCCTCTCAGGAGCCAACTTCACAAGTAGGAGCCTGGTAAAGGAGAGGTTGGGTGAGCTGGGCCTTGAAAGAGGAGGTTCCCTGTCAACTGCAGTCAAGCCGAGACAACTCACCCAGACAGGACTCCTCGTCTGCCGCATCTGGACAGTCTGGATGCCCATCACACAGCAGGGCAACGGGCAGGCAGCGCCCATCAGCACAGGTCAGGGTGTCATAGGGGCAGGGGCATCCTTGCTCATCCGAGCCATCTCCACAGTCATCCCGCCCATCACAGAGTAGGTCTAGAGGCAGGCAGTGGCCAGAGCGGCAGGACATCTGTCCTTCTCCACAGCCTGGGGTAGCACACCCTGATATGGGGCAAGTAGGCAGTCTCAGGACAGGTATGCTGTCAAAGGCTCCCAGAGAAGTTCCTGGTCCCAGAAGGACCAGAACACACTCCCTGACCCTCAGCTCCCACAGTTCATAGCTCCTGGCAATGGAAGCAGCAGCTCAGGAAGCACGCTAGTAAACCTAGTTACCCAACTCTATCACTACCACACTCAGGTGAAAATGCTCACCCTCCTCATCTGAGCCATCTCCACAGTCGTCCTGGTTGTCACAAAGCCACTCATGTGGCACACAGTGGCCGCTCTCCTGGCACAGAGCCTCTCCCTCTGCACAGGTAGGCAGCAGCTCCTCGCAGGGGTCACTGTCATCCCCACAATGCCACTGACTTTCCTGGCATGTGCTGAGTACACGGTGTCCTGGGATCAGTCATAGGCTGGGCTTGGCCAGTCCAGGGGCATGGCTGCTCCCGGGGTCCCCCACTCACCAGTTCCCACAGTCCTTCTGCAGCACAGTTCCCGGCGGGAAGAAGCTGTTGTGCCACTCACAGGGACAGGCAGCTGGCTCCACACAGACTCCTCCTGAGGTCAGAGTGCAGGTCTCAGAGCAAAGGAGGCACAGTGTCCTTGGCCCAGCCCTGCCACCATGGCCTTGTAGCCTTTTCCCAGTCTTGGTGTCCTCTCCCCTCTGCCTGTTCTGGTTACGCACCATGCAGCAGAGTCCCCTCGGGGCAGAAGCAGCCCTCCACACACGCAATGGCCTGGCATTGCCATCCAGGCTCAGGATGGTGGTCATGGCAGGTGGGGGACACGTGGGGCCACAGGCCTCATACACCTGTCCTCCTTCACACTGCAGGGCTGGGTGTAAAGGAGAAAGGCTTGGCTCACTGAGGCCCAAGGATGTAATAGCACAGGTGCGCCAGCCCCATCCATGGAGGGCACAGGCTACATGATGTAGACCTTTGCCAAGACCCTCCCAGGTGAGTTAGAATATGTCAGCCCTGTGGGCCAGCCATTCTTGCAAGTTAGGTTCATCTAGAAGAGTGGCATACAGTAAGCACCCATTTAAGTGACTAATTGGGCAGCTGGCAGCACAGGAGAAACACCCTTCAAGGAGCAGAGCTGGTGGGACACACTCACGACAGAGCTCCTGGCTGCGCCAGTGCACATGGTGCCCATGCCGGGCACACTCATCCGCGTAAGTGGCGATGGCTGAGCAGAGGCACTCACAGTCACCCCCAGAATCGCAGCTGTGGGAGGAAACAGTGAGCTCAGTACCCTCTCCCCACCTTGGCACGTCCACTGCCCCCCACTTCTGGCCGGTCCTCCTCACCCGCAGGCGTCATACACACACCACTCGTAGTGTTGCTGTGGGAGCACTTCCATGTGACACGGGGCAAAGAGTGGCTGCAGCATCACCTCACACCGGGACCGGGCCCAGACTGCACGATGAGCGTTCACCTACAACACAGGGCACGTCTCCAACACTGTGTGACGGCTGGATACCACCCCAGCCCTCGCCTCTGGCACCCCACCTCCCTTCCGGCCATCCGGCCCCTGCTCACAGTGCAGGGGTGCGGCAAGTCTCCTGGCTCAGGGCAGAGAGGACTGAGGCGCCACGAGTGGGCGGCCAGCTCCGCTGTGGGCTCCAGGACTCCTTGGCGGTTCCGCAGGTCATTACTGGCATCACCGTCAAAATCTCCGCACAGCCCAGCCACACCGCCACGGAAGTGGGGAGACAACTGTATCTGTACCCGGGTGCCTGGCAGGCATCATTGTGAAAAATGACCTGCTGGCTCTCAGCTGCATTGGGGCCAGAAGAAGACCCATAGTGTCCTGTGCAGGTACTCTGACCCAACAGGGGGTGCCAGCTTCCTTTTTGCGGGGAGGGGTAATTGATGGTGATAAATGAGGAACCCAACATTTGGGGGCCTAACTAGGAGTCTAGTTCCTTAAATAAAAGTAGTTTGGGGAGCTGGGTAATCCTCCATCAGGCTAGATTTGGGATGGTAAACTCAGCTCAAGGATGGGCCAGATCCCCCAGCAACAGAGCTGGCCAGGAGCTCAGGGGCAGCCCAGCTGCACAGCACCAAGTCCATATGGGGTTATTTTGGTTTCCCTCATTTTCTCACTAACAGTTATATTTCTAAACCGCCAACTGCTTGTGTTTGTGTGGTGGGATGTTAAGAGATCTATTTTCATTTCTTCTTCCTAAAACTTGCTATTTTCTAAAATGTTTCTTGGGTGAGACAGTATTGCTTTCATAATGAAGGAAAACAGAATTATGAAAACATAATTTGGAAACTTGTACCAGCTGTGAGGCAGGGGTGGCACTGGACTGGGGGTGCTAAGCTGAAGATAGGAGGACAGAGGAGGTCAGAGGCCCTGGCCTGTCTGTCACTCTGAAATCTGCCCTAAGGGGAATGCCAGGGGTCAGGCCTGACCCTGGAGCTAGGCAGGTATTTGGAGAAGGATTTGGGGGAGTCCAGCCCTGAGTGGTAACACCAGGGATGTAGGTGAACAAGGTGAGGGACTGACCTCCGTCCCAGAGCAGGGTCAGGCCCAAGCGCGTCGTCAGTAGCAGGAAGAGGCCAGTGTGGCGCAAACTTAGTCCTGGGCCTGTGTAGACCTTGGGAGGTCTTACGCTCACCCCGTTCACCATCACTGCCCTGCCTGTGGAAGAAGAGATGCATTCAGGCCCAGTCTGGAGTGAAGGGCCTTCTAGGTCCCCGAGAAGCCCTTCCAGCTTCCTCCACATGCTTTCTTTTGCCTCTCTATGTGACCTGGAGCAAGTCATACATCTCCTCTGGGTCTTCCTTTCTTGGCACTTTCCAGAATTATGATCCCCAACCAAGAGGAAACCCACCATCCCCTCCACACGGAGGACAGCCTAGCCCTGTGAAGAGCTGACAAAACCTGGGCCTCAGCCACACTGTGTGCAGCTGTGATACTACATTGCTATGCCCCCACCATCTGACAGTGTCACCCTTGCGATGTCACAGCCACCTCTGAGCAGGTGTACAACAGTGCTTTCTAGACGCACGGCCAGTGCCTTGGTGCAGGTGAGGCCACTGGTCCCGCAGGGCAGGTTCTGGGCAGAGACACTGAAGCGGCCACTGGCTTCTCTCACCAGCAGGTACTCGCAGGCTCCCGGGAAAGTGAGGGCCAACCCATCAAATGTCACGTAGTGGGGGGCCCCTGATGCTTGGCACCGTCCACTACACCGATGTCCTGTACAGTGCCACTGCCGACCCTGGCACACACTGTGGGCAAGCGGTGGGGACAGAGTCACTGAGGACAGCAACGACTTTAGCCAGGCCCTCAGCATAGAGGGTCCTGGAAGGTTCCCAGTGCCCAGGCCAGTCTGGAGATCCCACTTTACCCCAACTTCCACCTCAACCCCTTCTAGTTGGAGGGAAGCATATGTTTGGGGAACCAGAGGTCACAAGGTCAGAGGGTAACAGGTTATGGGAGCTAGGCATACCAAGTGTTGCAATCTTCTTGGATGGTGGTATTAGGAGGGTACCACTGCCCACTGTGACGGCAGGGACAGAGGTCAGGAGGCACACAGCGCCCATCCTAGGCAGAAGGTAGGGACATAGTTTTTGGACAGCTAGGGGAGCAGCCACCCTGGTGCCCCGTGTAGCCCCTTCCCAGTCTCACCAGCAGCACAGTGCCTGGAGGACAGACACACCGTCTGTGCTGCCTGCCTGGCAGGAGTGATTGGTGCTGGGGCTGTCACAGGTGAGGAGACAGGCTCCAGGAGTGTAGATGAGCTCTCGGGGGCAAAATGTCCTCTGTGGGGGACAGGGGTAAGCTGTGCAATTCCAGAGGCCCCTTTCTTGGCAGACGCTGCCGAGGGTGGGAAGGAGGAAATAAGAGCTAGGTCCAGCACAGGCTTAGCCTCCAGGCCCCTAATCTGCCCTGGTGAATGTCAGGAACCTACATACCAGGGACCCAGGCATCTGGATCCACTAATGTCAAGTGGAAACCCAACCTGAGCAGCTCACCTCCCAATACCCTGGCTATCAGAACAGGAAGCTGAGCTGTGCCAGCTGCCTCATGCCTGGGATGGACACCATCACTCTTTTCTGCTGCAGCTCCTGTGGGGCCATTCTTAGGGTACTGGGGCAGGGTGGAGATCTTGAACACCCCTACCTCCAATCTGATAGGACAGGGAGTTTCCTGAAGCCTCACCTTCACTCACTAGGCCCTGGAACCTGGCCCTGCCTCCTCAAGTCTAGAAGCCTTTGCTTCTCAACAACAAGCTGTCAAGCCTATCTGAGCCTCGGTTTCCTCATCTGCTAAGTAGGAACAATTCTTCCACTTCTCACTTCACTAAGTTATGATCAGAAAATAAAATTCAATAGTGGACCTGACAATACTTCTCCCACCCAGTACTTTTCTTTCCATCACGGGAAAGAGTCGGCACCTTGCCAGCCCTAGTGTGCGCACTGTGCGCAGCACACAGCCAGTCTGCTCTCTCACAAGCTCCCTGCTTCATTCCACATTCTGCTCGCCCCAAAGGCTGCCATCCTCACCAGTGGTTGCAGTCCTTTGTGATGGCACTGCCGGAGGCATAGACACGGGTTCCAAGCTGGCAAGGACACAAGCTGGGGGGCACACATTGGCCCTCAGGGTTCCATAGAAGCCCTGGGGGGCAGTTGCAGCCGGCCACACAGCTACCCAGATCTTTGCAATCCTCTGGCTCCCCGCAGTGGTGACCGCATGCTGGGGCACACTCCTGGTACTCCTGGCCACCAGGACACAGGACAGCTGGGCACAGTGACACATGCAAATCAGGGATATATCAGCCCCCTTGGCCCCAGCATGTCTCCCCGTACGCTTCCATAGGAAGAAAAATCTAGCAATCTGCCAAGATCAGAGGTCCTGCCTCCTCCAGCTCCTACAAAAAGGAGACTGGGGCCAGGTGCCCATGGGTCATGCCTGTAATCCTAGCTACTTAGGAGGCAAAGATCAAGAGGCTCGCGGTTCAAAGCCAGTCCAGGCAGATAGTTTGTGATACCCTATCTTGAAAAAACCCATCACAAAAAAGGGCTGATGGAGTGGCTCAAGGTGTAGGCTCTGAGTTCAAACCTCATGAGATACCACAAAAGTAAAAAAATAAAAATAAAAGAAGGCTGGGAGAGGGAGTGGAGAAGGAGCCTGGATTGGGACTGCTCAGATGAGGGGACTCACGGCACAGGGTCTGGTTCCTCCAGTGCAATGGGGTGCCCTCCTGGGCACAACGGTGTGCGTAGGCAGAGAGCACAGCACATAGGCAGTCCCTGCCAGGGGCACAGCCACACACAGCTGCCAAGCAGCGCAGCCTGAATGGCTCCCTCTCCACCAACCTGTGGCACTCCTAGGGGAGAGGAAATGGGTCAGTCCTTCCTCCATGGCTCCCCATCCCCTTGGCTTCCCATTGCTGCCTCCCTGTGCCCAGCAGCTCAGCCTTGAATTTGGTCCCTTGATTTCACAGGAGAGGAGTCTACCTGGAAGGCTGGGCCATGCAGGACGGCACAGGCTGCCTCTGAGAAAGAGAGGTGTTGGGAGTGGGTGCTGCAGGGGGAGAGTGGGGCACTGTCCACTGAGGGGCAACTGCTGTCTTCTGACACCTGGAACTTGCTAGCGAAGGCAGCGATATTGGTCTCCATGTCCCCAGCTGGTGTCAGGAAGTCATCCTGCTGGTTCCAGGTGAAGGTGCCACACAGACCCTGCACCTGGGCCGTGGAGGACACATGGGACAGTCAAATCCGTTTCCCATATCAGCCTTGTCCAGCTCCTGACCTGCCTCCTGGCATACCTGGTGGGCATGGCAGGGGTCCAGGGTGATATAGGCTGCAGGGTCAGTCACTCCCCAGAGGACCTGAGCTCCAGGCCAGTGCAGGAGCAAGAAGGTGGAGGAGGCTTGGGAGACTCTGAGGCCCCCAGGGCTAATCCAGGGCAAGTTCACATCCTGCCCATCCACCAGCACGTTTCCTGGAAGAGGAGTCTGTGATGGAGTGGGGAGACCCAGGGGAAGAGGAGGCTATAAGAAGCAAAGGGCTTGGCTGGGAGGTGGGAGAGCTCATGTCAGGGTGGGCTGCGGGGACAACTGGAGTGATCCCCAGAGGTTACATATACCACCTGAGACCCACTCTGGTCCCATCCCTGTCATCACCCATTTTTGGATATCCCTTTTCCCTATGCAGCCAGTATGTAGGAAGAGCTGGGCAGAGACAGCCGGCAGCAGACCCTGGTGTGGGGGAGTTAGAGGGCAGGTGGCTGAGAGAGACCCGCCTGATCTGGTCACGCTGCAAGGTCTTTTGGACTCTCATCACTGTGTGATTTGCATTTCCCTCAAAGACAAGGCAGAAGATGCCTTAGAAAATGTCCTCAGAGATGGGAGGACATGTTCTCAGAGCTACTGAGGCAAGGAGTTCTACTGCAGGAGTCTGGGAGGGTGGGGAGAGTTGCTGGGCCCCAAAGCATGGGGCAGTGTGGAGGACAGGTACCAGAGTCCAGAGGGCAAGGAAAAGGGACAGCAGGCTCGGTAGGCATCCTAAGGAGGAAGAGCTGATGCTACCTGAGTCCCTAAGCTGGATGTGGGTGTCCCCCAGTGAGACAGAAAGGGCGTGGAAGCAGCTCCCAGAGTCACAGGCCCCATGCTCCAGCACAATCAGCAGCTGACCTTTCACAAAGTCCTGGGGCACACAGAGGGAGTGGAGGTGGAGGTAGGTGCTCAGAATCCCCGAGGAGGCCTCTGCAGGCACCTTTAGCCTTACTGAGGCAGCTCCCCCACCCCCTTTCAGCTAGCCAGACTCTGTGAGGTATGGGGCTTAACCCCCGCCAAGGGTTGGCACACATGGTTGTCTGTGTGTACGTGTGTACATGTTGTGTAGGTGTGTGTGATTGCCTGTCAGTGTGTGCACATGTGTGTATGGCCATGCCTGCATGTTGGGATAGGATTGTTCCCCACTCTCTTCCCCTTGGGTATGTATGTTCATCTGTATCTGTAATAGAGATAGGCATGCACACATTTTCTAAATCTATGTATGAGTTTGTTTGAGCTGATTTGTATCACTGTGTGTGTGTGCCTGTGTCTGTGCACGCAGGTCTATGTGTGTTGGTGTGTAGCCTTTTTGTGTCTGTAACCCCAAGCATCTTCAGCTGTGTGCGGTGGGGAGATGACTGCCCTGGACAGCGCAACAGCCTCTGTAAGGTTCTGTGCAACCCTGGTTTCACGCCCCATCAGTACCTACAAAAGGAGGGGTAAATAAAGGTGGGAATGGTCCAGTACTTAGGTGGACAGGCACCAATGGGCCTCTGGAAGAGTGGGAAAGAACATGGCCTGCACTGAACTTGGGAAGTGCCCCAATTTTATTTGGGGAGAGCTGGGATGAGAGAAGGATCCCTTCTTTCCCCAAGGGTTGTCTTGTGTGAAGTGGCCTGTGACAAGCCCAGCCTGTCCCATCTGTGAAAGAAGACTGTGAGGATGGGTTTTGTTCTGTGACCCTGAGCTGGGGTGGGTGATGATGTTACAATGGGACTTTTTCAGAAGCTGGAGGAGGAACAGGACTGGAAGGGATGCTTGGGACCTGGGGCCCCATTCTCCCTACAGCATTGCTCCTTCTCGGCTTCCCTGTAGGGCTCTGTTTTCCATTTACTTCATTAGTGCTTTGCTTACAGTCATTTCATCTGGGGACATCCCCTAGGAAGACCCCTACCCTGGCAAGACCCCCTTTCTGGGCTTTGTCCTCTGCCCACCTGCACCAGAATGTAGTGGCAGCCTGGGCTGCCTCGGAAGGAGAAGCTCCGCCCATCAAAGGTGACGTACTGTCCATCGCTACCCACCGCACACTCCGCAGGACACAGGGCCTGGGTGCAGAGCCAGCGGCCATCCTGGCATACACTGAGAGCACAGGAGAGGGTACTGTGGCATCAGCTCCACCCCAGGGTGGGAAGCTGAGCGGAGACAACCCTCATACACACTCTGGCTCCTTTCCCCTCCCCAGTGCCCCACCACTGACTAAAGAGGCAGAGGTCAGCTGGCCATCCATATCTTTAAGCAGGGCCATTAATCATACCAAGAGAGGTCACAGGTCACTGTGTAGGAGGCCCCAGAATAGGCTGGCAATTTGGGGGAGGCAGGTTTCAGAGACAACATAAGGCAAGGGATCAGAGGGAACCACGTGGCTGTCACCTCCCAGTAAGGCCCAAGGACCCACCATAGGTTGCACAGCTGACGCACAGTATCACCAGGAGCGTAGCGCTGGCGACGGTGGTAGCAAGGGCAGCGGGCAGCTGGTACACACTGGGCACCATCCCAGAAGAGACCAGGTGGGCACTCACAGCCACTCACACACTCTTCCCTGCAGGACCCCTCCTCTCCCTGGCCCACAGCCATGCAGGTGGGTGGACAGGATGAGACGCAGTCAGAGTAGAGCTGAGCTCCTGGGCATAGGCGCTCTGTGGGCACAGGATTGAGGACAACTAGCTCTCGTTTCCTGCTAGAACTTGCTGGCCCTGAAATGCCAGGAAGCCATGGGCACAAGCTGGGAGGACATTCAGGGGTGGCAACGCCCTCAGGAAATGGGAGCCATGCAAGGGCCCTGGGCCAGTTCTATTGGGTGGACAGGCCGAGTAGTACCGCAGAAGCCAGGCTTCCTCCAGTGCGTGTGGATATGCCACCTGGCACAGGCCTGGGCATAGTTGGCAAAGGTGGCACACACGGCCTCCCGCCGCCCCTCTTGGTCACTGCCTGCCTTGGCTCTGGCACAGTAGGCAAAGAGGCAGGACTCGTGGTAGTCATCTGGGGGAACCTGCCAAGAAGGGACAACCCTCAGCTGGCAAAGGCCTTTCCTTGCAGCACTCCCCAGCACCTTCCACCTTCCTGCTTCCTTCACATCCTGTTTTAGAATCAAACAGAGAGAGGCTAGAAGGAACCTTAGAGATCACATAGTGGTCATCTCATCCTCAGAGATAACACCCAGGATGGGGAAGGGGGAGGGATTGACCAATGGTCCAACTCCAGGACTAGATCACCTGATTGGTGATCGAGCACCCTCTCTATCCCATCCAGCTGGCCCTCCTCCTACCTCTGGAGCTAGTCACCACCTCCACCCCCACCCATACCTGGGCATGGCATTGCCTGAATGGAACTTCTAGCAGCTGATGGCACATGTCCTGGGCTTCAGCCCGCAGCTGCCCAGCCTCCATGCCTGCCTCTAAGCCCTCCAGGGGGGCCTCACAGCCATGGGCTGCCTCCACTGGTTCCAGACATCCAGGCTAGGGATACACAGAGCCAGGCCAGTGTCAAAGGACATTAAACAGGACACCAGGAAAATGACCATCATTGTCATAGTTGCTCAAGGACCCGCTATCATGCCCACCAGCCTACACCCTGGGCTATGGAGACAGCACAGTGACAAGCCCTGGTGGGGAGGCAGAGAAGCCTGCACCACAGCTACAGGCAGGAGTTAGATGACCAGCTAATAGACCAAAGCCAGTAAGTGACCAGGTTAGTGAGGGGGTCCCCAGATGGTCAGTTCACAGCAAGTAGCTGGGCTGTGGGTGGTAGCTGACACAGAGCTTCCTATGGGACCTGGGGCCTTCCTGCTCTCCCCGAGAACTTCCCCTGGGGAGAGGGCCAAAGTCAGCATCTCACCTCAGAACCAGGGAGCCTCCAGGAATTCCCAAAGGTGGCAGCTAGCATGGCCAGCTCCCCACTTGGCTCTAAAAAGTCATCTGTGGAAGGGTGAGGCAGATGTTGGATGTGGGGTCCTTTCTCCCCTTCCCCCCTGCACCAGTCACCAAGCCACCACGTACCCTCAGGCTGGCCGTTGTAGAGCCCACAAAGGCCCTGCGTCTGTCCTGAGAGCTCGTGGTCCACGGAGATCGAGATTGAACTGGACCTGTCCAGCCGCACAACAACCCCCAGTCCCCCGGAGAGCACCAGCCAGTCGCCCTGCCACTGCAGACTGAGCCCTGGGAGGGAAGGGGTCATTCATCTCCTGGGTCTACACTCCATCCTCCACAGAGGCAGGGCTCTAACTGCCCAGGAAGGAGAGGGAATTCTCACAGCTCTAGAGGGTTCTGCCCTGTTTTCTCCTGTGGACACTCTCTTGAGAAGGTAAACTACAACCCATACACACACATACCACAGCTACAGACACACAGCACACACACCACCTGTCATACGTGCACACACACCATGCCTATACACATACAACACACACCACATACAACATATACACACCACACGTGCACACCGTACATACACGACGTACCACACATGTATGCCATTGCACTATACATACACACATACCATACACACAGACAGACACACACACACATTTCTCCCCACCCCTCTTATCCTAGTCTTGATGACACTCCCTTGTGACAGGTGGGGAAACCTAAGCAGAGGGACTTGTCCAAGTCACACTGGAGGGGTAGGGAGTGGGGGACCAGGCCCATGTCCTTCTGGCTCCTCATTTCCAAAAGCCTCCCCACAGCAATGAGGGGAAGGCAGCAATTGCATCCTAAACTGTCTCTGGGCTTCCCTTCTGCCCCTCTGGGGTGGGAGGACTGTCCCAGAGGAAGGAATGGTCCTCACCATGGAGTAGCTGAGGCTCCCCGTCAGGTACCAGCTGCCCCTTCACAAAGACATCTCCACCCTGGACCAGCACCTCCTCAGAGCCCATCGTCACCCAGACCGAGGGAGAGGAACCATGGATCTGGTCAACCTCTCACCTTTCCTACAGTCCCTCCCTGGGGCCAGCCTATATCTCTCAGCCCCCTCACCAGCTGACAGGGCCCAGGCTGGGGGCAGTGACCCCCAGACCTAAGGTGAACAGCCCAGGTGGAATCCACAGCACCCGCCAGTAGGTAGGTGCAGTGGCCCAGGAAGTGGTAGTGACGTCCGTCAAATGTTTGGTAGTGGAAGCCTGACCAGGTAGCACAGGTGGCTGAAGGACTCTGGCGCTGGCTCCAGAGCTGTCCCACAGCCCCTGCCAAGGGCTGCAAGAGGGCTGCAGAGGACGTGTTGCCTGGATGAAACACAAATGGGAACCTGTGAGTGCAGGGTCAGAGGCCTAAAGATGAGAACTCCTGGGAGAAAGAGGCACAAGAACAGGTCTCTTTGGCAGGCAGGGCCCTGCCGAAAGGCCAAGAGCTCCAGGCCTGGGACAGGGGTGAGGTCAAAATATTCTATCTCAAGGCAGAGGTATGCAGACCCACCTGGGAGATGCCAGCTGGAACAGCTGAGACAGACCTAGGAGCTGCTGTCCCACCAGCTATGTCCCCAGGGTTGGGCACAACACTCCTCCAGACTTCCTGCTGAAGCATTAGCTGAGCCTGCCAGAGGCTGGCACTGCCATGTGGCAAAGCAGTGGCCGTGAGGGCTGGCTTCAGCAAGGGCTGTGGTGGGTGGAGGAGAAAATGAGGCACACCCAGATGGTCAGCAAAGCAATGGTCCGGGAGTGGTCAGTCTGGCCAGCTCCTGTCCCCAGGCAGCCTGCCACCTCCTCTCCATCACAGATGGAGTCTCCCCACTCCTGCCAGGACCCTGGAAGGTCTTGTTCATGGTCCCCGCTCAGGTACTTACTGTCAGTGCAGTGGGTACCCCCCCAACCTGGGCAGCAAGCCCTCACTGTCCGGTTCCACGTGGCAGGCCGGGTTTCTGGGGGTCTTCACCCATCAAGTACAGGAAGGCAAAGAGATGTGTTAGTGTTCAGCCCTGTTCCACAATGGGGAAAGGGCTGGGACTTTTGCTCTGGTCATTTTCTAAAGGTCTTGTCACATTTCCCCCTCTTGGCCTTAATTTCTCCAAGTGCAAAGTAAGAATGATGCTGGAAAGTCGGCTGGAGAGCAGGCAGAAGGAGCAAGCATTGTGCCTTTCCCTGTTCTGCCCACCACAGCGCCCTCTTATCCTCCTACCCCACTCTCACTCTCTGCACCTCCCTGAGCCACCTGGGACCTACTTCCAAGTGCCTGCTTGTGCCAGATCCTCCCCTGGTCCTCCCCCTTTCTCAGGATGTCCGGCTGTCACTCCTTTTCTTTCCTGCCCGGCAGACAGCCCAGGCTGTGACCCTCACTCACTTGTAGATGGCACAGAGCCCAGGTACTGGGGGCCTGGTGAGCCCTGTACGGCCCCTCCAGGGCAGGTCCAACCGCCAGCCTAGCCGGCTGTAATGGTAGAGGCTGGCGCAGGGCACCAGATCCTCCTGACGGGGAGTGACTTCCTCCTCCATGTGGATGGTTTCCGTCCACTCACACCACCGCCTGCTCACAGATAGGGAACCACAGTTGCTGCCACTGTTCCCAAGAAGCTCTGTTCTGTGACTCCAATCCCCTAAGAGCTAACTCCCTGGGGAGGCCTCTGAAGCAAGCTTGCAGAGAAAGCATGGGGGAGGCAAGTCTAGTGCCCCAGAGGGTCCTGGGCAAGGGCTGCAAGGGGGAGCTTAGCCGAGAGGTCCCACTGGGCTGCTTACCCATTAGCCAGTGTCCATAGCATCCCAAAGAGGAGGGCAGGGAGCAGCATGGTGTCCAACTTCCAGGTCACCTTTGTGGAAATGTGAGTCTTGGGCTCCAGCAGTGTTGCTGCAGGGGAGCAGAGGGACCTGCACAGGTCCCCCTGCTCCACACTGCCACCTACTACAATCAGAGACTAGTCTGCCCAAACCCCTTGGTACTGAGGAGGCTTTATCCCTGACTCAGACCCCCTGGATTGGACCAGCTGCCCATCATGGGATTGGATTTGCGTGCACCTTCCCCCTCAGAGGCTAACTCTCCCTGGAAACAGGCCCTTCCTGCCCCTCCCAGTGTGTATCATGGGGGATCATAGCTAAACACTTTGAACTTCTGATATTTCCACACTCTCAGGTACTACCGCAAATTAACGTGGGACTTGGGGCAAGCCACCCTCCCTTTCTGGGCTTGTTTCCTTACCAGTAAAAACTTCAGGGACTTCCCAGGGATGTGCAGATGGAACTCAGGGACTCCATGTGTTCTTTGAAATTTTATGTGCCTACATTTTCTGAGGATAGTTTCATAACTTTTGTTACCTTCTCAAAGGGGCCCATGGCCCCACAAAAGGGCTGAGTGACTGAGATATGTGTGGTTTTCAGCCCTCAAATACTGACTTAAGTATGGTGCTTTCCCTGTTCTTCTCCAGCCTCCTCCTGTCCCCTCTCAGGCCAGGTGTTCAGGAAGTAAGGGCCTCTGAGAACGTGGAGACAAGGAGAGAGGGTGTACCATTTTCTCTGTGGGGTCTGACTTCTTGCCGAGGGTAGTTATGGAGGTTTGGTTGGGACCATCTGGTCTGGTGTGAGGATATCTCAGGGACCCAGAGGCTCAGGTCACCTCAGGACTGAGAGGAGCCAAGAAGGAGTGCCTGGGTGGGAAGTAAGTGGGGCTGGGCATCTGCTCCCCCACCCCTCCACCCCAGAGCAGAGCTGAGCCGGATGGAATAATCCGAGTGTCCGGTTGAGAGAGGGCAGCTACAGGCTTCACAGGGAAATCATGGTTACATCCTGGTTACCAGCAGAGCTCCAAGGACACCCAGGCTGGACTGTAGCCTGGACCTCAGATTCTGAACCACTCCATGCCCTAAGCTGACATCCCGCTGAGCATCCTGCATGATCATCCCACCTGGGACAAACGGGAGCACGGCTAGGCATTCCTTCTCCTAGGTTGGCCACTGGCTTTGGGACAAAAAGATGGTCTGGCATGAGTCCCTCCGGAGGCTCACAGATGGCTAGGGTTGACCCCCAGCTGGCAGTCCTGAGAAAGAGCTTGGATCTGCTGTGGATACACTGTCCCCCAAGTGTCTCTCACACACTCACACCTGGACACTTTCTCTTTGTGTCCTACACATGGACACCTCCATCCCAGGTCCTGCACACTAGTCCCAGGTGGCTCTCAGGGCCACCTGCAGTCTACTGAGCATCTGGGACACAGAAGAGCCTTTTGCTGCTAATCCCAAGGGGCCTCCTGCTCTTCAAATCCCCCTGCCCCAGGGCCTCTCACTCTAACCACCCACAAATGTTGAGGGCACCCCCTGATGTGCACAGAACTCTATCTTCTGCAAGGCCAGCCTTGGGCCACTAGGTCCTGATTGCATAGGTATCACCATTTTTGTCATGGAGTGCTGTAGACAGGAATGCTGGTCCTGCCCACAAGGAATCCCAGCTCTGGATGCCTACATTGTTGACAGGGCAAGCTTGAGCTGGGAAGAAATGCAAGTCCCAGCTGCCCTTTCCCCTACAGGGGCAGAGGGAGGAAGCCAGAGCCCAGGAGAGTTTGCAGAAAGATTGTAGGGAGGAGTCTCAGAACAACCAACCCAGATTTTAGTTACAGGAGGACAGTAAAAGGGGTAGAGGTGCTTGGACGAGGCTTAGGAGAAACTGCGTAACTCGGCGGGGATGGTGAGCTAGGCCTCCAAGGAGCCAGAAAGGAAGGCAATGCTCCACACCTGGCTCCAGGAGGTTCCCAGGGGCCCCCCATCCCGCCTGGAGTGGCTCCCTTCCCTGCCCTTGGACCCCATCCCCAGGAGTCTTCAATGCAGTCCTACTCCAGCCTCACCCCCAATAGCCTCCGCTGCCCCGGCCCTCTCCCTGGGGACCTGGCTTTCAAAGTCTCCTCCCCAATTTCTATTTCCAAAGGCTCAGCTCTCTCCCCTTCGTTCCCCCACCCCCATTCCCGCTGTGGCTCCCGCAGCGGTGTGTATGGGTCTGGGTGGCTCAGGGAGCAATTCGGGTGGAGAGCAGGGCCGGGCCGAGTTTCCCAGACCGATTTCCCTCGAACTCCAGTAGTTCAGACTGTCTCCCGCGGGACCGAGGCGCTGCCACACACCCAGCTGGCACTCGCGATTTAAGGACAGCAGCGCACACACTCCAGGGCTCCCCTCCCCGAACACGCCCCCTCTTCTTTCCTCCCAACTCCTCACCGCCCACCCACCCCCCCGCCGCAGCCCCGCGCTCCACCTTTCCCCAGCTCCTCCCTCCAAGGCTTCAAACCACCCTCCCTCAAAGCCGGAGTGTCTCCGTCCTCCCCACCCTCCTCCCTCCCCCACCCTTTCCCTTCCCCTTCCTCCTCTTCCCTTTCCCCGTGCTAAGCTCCCACTTTTCATCACCTTCTCCCTCCGAGTGTCGTGCCTCCAGACCATCACCTTCGCACCTAACCCTGCTGTGCACTCTCCCGCGACCCCACTCCCGAAGACCCCCCTTACCCCAACCTCCCCTAGCCTGGTGCCCCGGGGGTCCGCTCCCGCATTCTCTGTTCCTCCCCCTTCGCGGGGGCGCCGCTGCCCCGCACCCTCTCCCTCCGCGCCTTTTCCTTCCCCTCCCCGCGAAGTTTCGGGGCTGTCAGTCTGTCGGTCTTGCGGACAGTCCGCACCCGAGCTGCAGGCAGCGGGCGCCATTGTGCACAGAACCTGCCGGGGCAGGAGGCCCGGGCGCCTGGGTCCCCGCAGCAGGCAGAAGCGCGGAGACCGCCCGCCCGCCAGGTAAGGGCACCGAGGCTCCGGCGGCAGGCGGCCCCGCCCGCCGGCCCCCCTTTCCGCGCACACTCACTGGGGCGACCAGCTCGGGCAGGTGACAGCCCCAAGGGAAGGGGCGCCGGACCCGAGGAGGGTGGGGGAGGGGCAAGGGTCGGAAAAGGGAGGGAGGGCAAGGCGGGCGGGAGGGAGGGTCTGGGAGCGGAGAAGAGGGACCCGGGAACTGGAGGGGAGGGCGGGGGCTGGGTGGGAGTCAAGTGGAAAAGGAGCTCGAAGGTCCCAGGGCAGGCTTCCGAGGGGAGGGAGTGGGGAGTCTTTGGGGAGAGGAGAGGGAGTGTGGGGAGGGGTGCGAGGGGGAGGGGTGCGCGGGGAAGGGAAGGAGAAACAGGGCGCACGGGATCCTGCCATTTGGGAGGGGCGGGAGAGAAGAACGTTGACAGGTGAGCCCCCAAGCGGGGCAGGGGGGCCGGGACCTAGAGTGACTCTGGAGGACAAACGCAGGCGGGGAGATGGAGGGGGTCTGGAGACAAGGAAAACTCGGAGTGACGGGGGTGGGGGAGATAAGTCAGTGGAGAGCAGAAATGGGGACGGGGCCAGTGAGAGATGTGTTAGGAAGAAAGAGGTTCTGAGAAGAGGCGGGTGGGGAGGGGCAGGGCCAAGGAGAAGGTCCAGAGTGAGCGGGGTCAGCCTTGGGGGCTCCGCTGACCCGGGAGCTGGGGAGTGGACTGGAAGGGGGAGGGGAGGAGCGGTTCTGGGACTGGGAGGGGAGGGAAAGCGAAGCTGGAGCCTGCTGGGGCGGCAGAGGGGGAAGGGAGGCGGGGGCCGCGGAGGGGAAGGAGAGCTGCAGGAGGGAGGAAGGGAGAGAGGGAGGATGGTGTGGGGAGAGGGGGAGGAGGGCTGAAGAGGAGGGGGAGGAGAGGAAAGGAGAAGGAAGAGAAACCAGAGTGGAGGAGGAGAAGGGGAGGGGAAGGGAGGGGCGAGCGGGGTGGGGGAGACCAGCTGAGAGAGGGAGGGCGGGTGTTGGGGGAGGAAGGAAAAGAGGAGGGGGAAGGAAGGGGGGGAGTGTGCAAGCTGGGAGGCGGATGGCGCGAGGGAGAGCCAGGCGGGCAAGGACTGGCGGCCGGGAGCCTGGGGAGGGGGAGGGGAGCGCTGCCGGAGACTGCCCGGAGCGGAGGGTCAAGGGAGGCGGTGGCTGGTGCGGGCCGACTGGGAGGGGGCCGGGAGGGGTTGGCCTTGCGGGTGCGGGCTGGGGAGGAGCCGGAGGGCGGGGAAGGGGAGGAGCCCCAAGAGGCTGCCCGATTTGGTGGGGAGAGAGGGCGGAAGGCAGGGAAAGGGGAGGGGTAGAGGGAGGGCTGCCGGGGAGGAGGGGGAGGAGAGTGTGCTGGGGGAGGGGCAGGGAACTCGCTGGAGGAGCTGGGTTGGGGGGACTGCGGGGAGTGTCTAGATTTGGAGCGGGGTGTCCCAGTCTGGACTAGTCCCATGGGGAGAGGGGTGATTTTGAGGTAGGGGCTTGAAGCGAGACAGCCAGAGTCATTTACTACCTTAACAAGGCCCTTTTCTGAGGTCCCTCTCCCAAGTAGCCCTAGAGTGACACCTCCGCTCCAGGGCTGGCTTCTGTTTCACCAACTCTTTCAGTGACAGCTGGAGGGTCCAGGAGATGAAGTTTCCCTATTCCCCACCCTGGTCTCCCAACCTCTCCCCGGAGAATCGAATGGCTCCTGTATTTCCCCAGGCGAAGACACTGAGGTGCCTGAGTGGCGAGGCTGCTGTTGGCCTGGGACTGGCTCTGAGAGACCAGCCAGGTGAGGAGGGTCCGGAGCTGATTTCCAGAGCCAACCAGAGCTTGCAGAAATGACCTTCTTGGAACCCCCCCCCCACAACACCCCCAAGGTCTAAATCAAGTTTCCTTTATTTCCTTCGCCTGTACCTGGGGACATCCACCTTTGGAGCTTCTGAGTAGAGCTGATAGGGATGGGCTAGCTAGAGCGGCACTCAGGTGGAAGCTGACAGAAAGAATCTGAACAAAGCTGTCTTTTCTCCTTAGGGTCTGTGGCCTGATTCCCAAGGGAAGCTACTCCTGGTTACCATGAGAGAGACTTTGGAGGCCCTGAGCTCCCTGGGTGAGCCTGAGAACAGAAGGAACTTGGGGGTGGGGGGGAGTCTGGGGCATCTACAGTTTAGATAGCAGTGAAGTCCTCAGGAGGCTGGAACCCAGAGACCCTGGAGTTGTGTGGGCAGACTCTTCTAGGTCACCAGGGTGTATTTGAATGTCTGGAACAGGGAGGTTGTGCTAGATCATTTGTGTGCATGGGAACTCAAAGAGCACCGGGCTTTAAGTTTACATTTATTTTACTGAAATCTATTTCTTTCTTCTGCTGTCCTTCTTGACTCAATTTAAAGGGGCTGAGGTTGATAACCTGACCACCTGATCACCAGTTCTGTACTCACACTTGTCCTCTCTGCCTGTACCAGGATTCTCTGTAGGACAGCCAGAGATGGCCCCACAAAGTGAGCCCAGAGATGGATCCCACAATGCCCATGGGAAGATGTCCCCCTCCAGGGAAGAGAGTGCACTGGGCAGATGCTCAGGTAAGTGGGGACCATGGAGGAGGGTGCCTGGGGAGAAGTATTCCTTTCTTCAAGAATTTGAGCACCTACTATGTGCTGGGTGCTATTCTGGATATTTGGAACACCCCAGTGACCAAACAATTAACAGCCCTACCTTTAAAGACCTGAATTCTAAAGCGTGTAATGTCAACCAACAATAAATGTGAGCATAACAAAAGTTTTAAGCTACCTTAGCTGAGGATAAGTGCTGTGGGGGAGGGGATAAAAGCCCAGTGAGATGGCTGCAGGTGGGGGTGAAGCCTGTTGTAGGATTCAATCGGGGTGAGAATAGCCCTCACTGGAAGGTAAGATTGGAGCAAGACCTGGAAGAGGTGAGGGAGGTGGCTAAGGGGCTGTCCAGGAGAAGAGCTTTCAGGGAGGGCAGCAGGATAGAGTGCCTGAGGCAGGAACCAGCCTGGCCTCTTGACATCCCAATCCTCACCAATGATTTGCCTTGGAACTGGGATGCCCCAGTACTGCTCCTGGTAACCTCAGTTAAGCCTCAGGCCAGAGGTCCTTCCTTGCTTCTACCACCTCACACACATATTCCAGAAACTCCTCACAGTTGTGGCTTCTGCAACCTGCACACCCTTAATAGCAGCTACTCTCCCTGAAGGAACCTGAGGCTGCCCTGGCAGCTGGGAATTCTGCCCCTGCAGGTATGAAGTGGGATGGAGTCCCGTGGGTGGGACTGGGACTAGGGTTTCAGGTACCCCTACTTCTAGCACCAGTGGGGACCATCTTCTCTCTGTGATGCTTCTTGGTATCCTCTTCTCTTTCCCAGGTCATGGGGCCCCTGGCCCAGAGGAAGGTGCTAGGACTGAACAAGCTGAGGCTCCCTGCAGAAGTGGCCAGGCCTGTGCCCCACAGAAGGCTGAGCCTGTGAGCTCTTGCCCTGGTAAGTCTTCCTGTTACTTCATCCAAGGGAACAGACAAAAGGAACAGGGGCCCAGCAAGCTCCAGAGCTGCTCTCTAATGAGTCAGGTCACCAGGAGACAGCTGCTGCAGGCCTTTCTAACCAAGATGAGTCCAGGCCCTGGCCTCTTTCTGCTATACAGCATCAGTACCCAGGGGCAACTTCATATCCATGGACTGTGGATTAGAGAGGAGAGGCTGGTCACCAAGAAGAGCAAGCCTCATCTCTAACAGGTCACATACAGGCTATTGATCACCTGAATTATAATTTCCACCAGGATAAAAAGTGTTGATCAACCTTTTCACTTGTCTCTTACCCTGCATGCTCCCTCCCACAAATCTCCACCGATCTGGGGGATATACCAAGTGTTCTCAATCTGTTGTAGTCACCTCATCTCTCCATCACTCTAAAGTTCCACCCATCACTTCCTTCCACTACCACCATCCTCATCACCTCTTGGCTGGGTGTCATCACTTATCCCACAGGATTTATTTAGTGCCTACCATGAACAGGCTGTATTGGGTGCTTTGGGGAGAGACGGGATGCAGAGGTGCACAGACCCTGGTTGTGTTCCTTGCTCCACATTTACCCACTGAGTGCCCTTGGAGGGGCTCCCTTCCCTCCAGGAGCTTTGATTTGTTCATCTGTAAACTGGGATAATACTAACTTCACAGTTCTTGTGAACTTTGTGACAGTGTATGCACAGGGCTTCATCTATAATTGGTCCTCAGTAAATGGTGGTGATGCTCATTTTTATTAGACACATAAAGACACAAATTCAGAACACAAGATGTCTGCCCTCCAGAAATTACAGACAAAGAATTTAAAATACAATATAAAAGTCACAAATAGGTGTAAAAGCTTAACTAGTAAGTGCTGTAGTTTATAGCAGGAGATCATTGTGGGATGGATCTGTCAAAATGTTGCTTTGTGCTACATTTTCAAAGAGCTGTACACTTCAGCTCTGCAGCCAGTGGGGTGCAGGAGCGGGGAGATATTCCCCTTGACTGAAAAAGGACTTTGAAACAGGAAAGGTGACATGTGAGTGGGGTTGAAGGAGAGTATCATGGTGGAAGTGGAAGCCTCACAACTGGAGGAAGGTTGGAGTGGAAGCTAGAAGCTATTGATGATTCTTGAGTAGAAGAGTGGCACCATGAAAATAGAAGTGACATCAGAGTAGGAGAAACAGACAGCAGTGTGGAACCAGTGGATTGAGAGAAGAAACTAAGAGGAGATGTAATCATAACCATCCATATATAATGGAATCAAGACTCAGGCTATGACAGACTTCCTGGGCCACATAGGAACTCAGATATCTGGACCAATGGTTCTTAAACAAGACTCACTTTGAGAGCTTTAAAGAAAGAGATACAAGCTGGGCTGAGGTGGCTCATGCCTATAATCCTAGCTACTTGGGAGGCTTAGATCTGGAGGATTGTGGGTCGAATCAGCCAGGGCAAATAGTTCATGAGGTCTTATTTCCAAAATAACCAGAGTGAAAAAATGGACTGGAGGTGTGGCTCAAGTGGTAGGGTGCCTGCTTTGCAAGTGGGAGGCCCTGAGTTCAAACCCCCATCCTACAAAAGAGAGGAGAGGGAGGTACAGATTCACAGGCCCTCTCTCTACAGATGCATGTTGTGAAAATTCCCAAGGAACTTGTACCCCCCAGGTACACTGAACTAGTTCCCATATCTTATAAACACCAGCCTCCTCTCCCTAAACTGGGATTTCCCAATGGGGCTACACCATAAGAATGAAGGGAGTGACAGCAGAGAGAGTATTTGAGACCACAGGATGGAGTACAAGCCTGCCCTGGTACTCTGTGGCCAGAGGCGAGGTAGTAGAAGCAGCACAAGTGACAAGGTTCCAAGGCCATCCTGTCCCGTCAGGAGAAAGAGGCTACAGTCCTAGTGTTAAAGTCAGCCTGGGCTAAGCTGGGAAGATCAGGTATTTGGTGACAAACCTGCTGAGCTGCAGCCAGTTTACAAGACACTCCATGGAAGCTGTTTTACTGGAGACGAGAGACTTGTTCCAGAAAGGAGTCTACTGGTCAGAATGATCTGAGGTTCTGAACCCAGAGGGAAGCCTGAGGATTGAAGGTTGGGCAGCAGTCCTGTTCCAGGCGAGCAGGAAGAAGGGATGCCTAAGAAGGATGCAGGGAAGGGGGTTCCAGGAGACAGGCAAGCCTGGAAAAGGCCCCAGGAGGGAGGGGGAGTGTTCACCAGCATTATGGGACTGCAGAGAGCAGGAAGAGGACAGAGGAGTTTCAGATTTGGTCCCCAGGAACCTTTGGGCAGAGCACAGAAAGCAGAAGCCAGACATCAGGGCTCCTGAAGCGGTTCTATTGGCAAATGAACGTAGCAGCGTGTGGGGTTAATGGACAGTTCTTTTGATTATTCAGGAGATGAGTGGATGATTCGAAAGGTGAAGGTGGAGGATGAGGATCAGGAGGCAGAGGAGGTCGAATGGCCCCAGCACCTACCGTTACTTCCCAGCCCTTTCCCGGCCTCTGACCTGGGGCATCTGGCTGCTGGGTACAAACTAGAGCCCGGGGCCCCTGGGACCCTAGGTGGGCTCCCACTGGCCGGGTGGGCCCCGATCGCGGAGAAACCCTACGGCTGCGGAGACTGCGAGCGGCGCTTCCGGGACCAACTGACGCTAAGGCTTCACCAGAGGCTGCACCGCGGCGAGGGCCCCTGCGCCTGCCCAGATTGTGGCCGCAGCTTCACGCAGCGCACGCACATGCTGCTGCACCAGCGCAGCCACCGCGGCGAGCGACCTTTCCCGTGCTCGGAGTGCGACAAGCGCTTCAGCAAGAAGGCCCACCTGACCCGCCACTTGCGCACGCACACGGGCGAGAGGCCCTATCCGTGCGCCGAGTGCGGCAAGCGCTTCAGCCAGAAGATACACCTGGGCTCACACCAGAAGACGCACACCGGCGAGCGGCCCTTTCCCTGCACCGAGTGCGAGAAGCGTTTTCGCAAGAAGACGCACTTGATCCGGCACCAGCGCATCCACACGGGCGAGAGGCCCTACCAGTGTGCTCAGTGCGCACGCAGCTTCACGCACAAGCAGCACTTGGTGCGGCACCAAAGGGTACACGAGGCTGCCGGCCGGGCCCAGACTTCTCCCGACCCGTCTGCTTCGTCCCACTTCCCCAACGCCTCCCCTGCCCCATCCCCTCCAGGACCCAAGCCTTTTGCCTGCCCCGAATGTGGACTGAGCTTTGGCTGGAAAAAGAACCTCGCCACGCACCAGCGTCTGCACCGCAGCGATGGTCGTCCTTTTGGGTGCGACGAGTGCGCACTGGGCGCCAATGTGGACCCCGAGCCCTTGGCTTGCGCGCCCAGTGGACCAGGCTGCGGCCCAGGATCGGGCCTGGCGGAGCCCCAGCGCACCGTCTCCAGCGAGCGGTCCTTCTTCTGCCCAGACTGCGGGCGCGGCTTCGCTCACGGGCAGCACTTGGTGCGGCACCGGCGCGTGCACACGGGTGAACGGCCCTTTGCTTGCTCACAGTGTGGCCGCCGCTTCGGCTCGCGACCTAATCTGGTCGCCCACTCCAGGGCCCACAGCGGTGCCAGGCCCTTTGCGTGTGCGCAGTGCGGCCGCCGCTTCAGCCGCAAGTCGCACCTGGGCCGCCACCAGGCAGTGCACACAGGCAGTCGCCCCCATGCCTGCGCTGTCTGCGCCCGCAGCTTCAGCTCCAAAACCAATCTGGTCCGCCACCAGGCGATCCATACCGGCTCCCGCCCCTTCTCCTGCCCTCAGTGCGGCAAGAGCTTCAGCCGAAAAACCCACCTGGTGAGGCACCAGCGCATCCACGGGGAAGCCGCCCACCCGGCCTCAGATGCGGACCTCTCAGCCCCAGCCTGGCCCAACCCTACCGAGGCGGCACCGCCCCCACTCTTCTTCTAACCTTGGTTCTTGGCAGGATTCTTCCTTTGCTTACAGATTCTAAAGACCCATGCTGAGACCTCCTGGACTGTTAATGCGTAGGCTGCTGCCAGAAAGGCCTAGCCACCTGGGGCTACCTTCCTTCCCTCAGTGTCTGGGGAGAAGTCCAAAAAGCATACCCAGCTCTGTCGTTCATGACAAAGATCCAGCTAAGAGAACCCTTGCAGATATTTCCTGGGTCATCCTAGCCATGGACAGACTGGGTGGGAAATTTCTACCCAGAGGGAAAGAATGGCTATCTATGTACTTAAAGCATCATTAAAGTTCAAATCCAAAATTCTGGGGTTAACTGAGCTGGGGGAGGAAAACCTAACTCTTCAACCTGCAGCCCCAGGAAGAGCCCCCATCCCTTTCTGCCCTGGGCAAGTTATCAGCTGCTGTTAATTGGCTCTTCCTAATCAAAATGTAAATGTGCTTAATTGACAAACCACCACCCTGGTTCCTGCTTCTAGCCCAGAAATTTGTCAAGAGAGACATGAATGTACAGTGTCCGGTGCCAGGTGTTGAAGACTAGAGCTGAAGGGAAGGCAGAGAGGGGCCTGCTGCCCTTTGATCGTTCCCGTGGAGACAGCACACTTCCCTGGGCTCTGGAGCTCTGTGCTTTTGCCTGTTTGCAGGTCTCCCGAGGGGCATCGAACAGTAACCTCACCTGCTGCCTCCTTGGCAGGGAGGAGGAGGAAGCACCTTCACGGATAGAGGCTGCTTTTATATCACACCTTCCACTAGGCACTCTCCTGATGAGAGCTGATTGATCTAGAAGGCTCTGCAGCTGCACTGTGCCCAGCCTGGACAGATGTGAGAGCCGGGATGACTGGCAGCAAGAGGAGGAACAGGTTAATGGGGCCATGCTGAACTTAGAGGGAGCAGTCTTGGGTTTGCTCTTCCTTTGTTCAAGTGGGACTTGGGTCTAGGGCATTTATTGCCCTAGACGGGCACTTTCTCATTAAAATGAGAGGTGATGTTGACAAAGGCTGAGCCCTTTCCAGTTCTACATCTCTAGCACCAAAAATAATCTAAACAGCTATTTATTGGGGACTTACTGTTTGCTTAGCACTGTGCTAGGCACTGGGAACAATAGATGAGCAAGGACACAGCCTCACAGCAGCTTAAGACCAACATGAGATGTGTGGTCACTGGAGTGTGGAGTAAGGACATCCAAAAGTTTAGTGGCCAAGGAAGATTGGCAGGATGAGGTCATTTCTGCAGAAAGAGTGCAGGAAGCATGAGTAGGACATGGGCAGGAGCAGCATGATGGGGAGAAAGGTCGTGATCAGAGATGTCATGCTGAGCACCCAGTGCAGGGATGAGAAGACAATCCTGGGAGCTGGAAAGGCTATTTAGCACATATACAGGCGTTGAGACCATCCAGGAGAGAGGAGGACAAGGGCAGAGTTCAGGCAGAGCAGGAACATAGCCACATTTTAGAAAGATGTCTGACTGGAGGGGGCCAGACGGGAGACCTGCGCATCAGTCATCCACGTGGTGGTGACCTTGGACTGTGGTCACATCAGAGGAGATGGAGAAGTAAGTGACAGATTCAAGAGACACTTACTAGACAGATGGCACAGGACTTGTTGAGATGGAGTGGGGAATTGGTGAGGTCATCCTGATTTCTGCTTGAGTAATCTACTAGAGGATAGTGACCTTTCCCCAGAAATGGTTACACAAAGGGAGAGGAGCAGTTTTGTGCTGGGGAAGCAGTCTCGCACCTGCCAAGTTGGTGTGACCCTTAAGAAGTGTCTGGGTAGATACAGAACACAGGACAAAGCTGGGCTGGAGGCAGGGCGGTCTGAGATAACCTCCCCAAAGAACTGAGTGTGGAGTGAGAGCAGGCCTTGCTCAGAACCCTTTGGAATACCAACGTTAGAGGATGGCATTGAGAGAAGCCTGTGAAGAAGATTGGGACAGTGGGAGATGCCAGAGAATGGAAAGAAAGACCCCAAGAGGAAGCAACAAAGAGCCAAGGCAAGACACTTGTGGAAGGGAAGAAGCAGTTGAAGGCTCTAGAGAAATCACTGAGCTCGGGTGATGTCTTTTAAATTTTGTATCCAGGTAATCATTGGCAGTTAGAACAGCATGTGAGAGGGGCACAAGTTCAAGTTGCAGAGATGAATCACAAAGCAAGTAGAAAATGAGACCTGGATGCAGGTGAGGGATGGGTATTGACTAGGAGGCCTCTTTGACTATAAGGCGAAGTGAGGCAAAACTTTAAGTTTCCTAGCTAAGAATAAGTAGATTAACGTAGATGATTAACGTAGATGTGGCCATAAGTCAGCCCTCCCCCACAGTATTTTAAATATGTGGAAATTTCACATATGAATCTAAACACTTGCAGCTCTTCTTGTGAAAACAGAAGATTTGGCAACTGATGAGTACAGCTGAACAAAAGCTGGCGTCTTCAGACCAACGGATGCAGACTTTACCAGTCTCCATGGTCATAAAACCAGCTCAGCTTGTCTCTCTCTGAAGCTGCCTACCTGGCCTCAGGCAAGGAGCTTATGCATCCAGCTGAAGAGTGATCTCACAGACTTTTCACCTCAAACACATGGAAACCATGTTGATGTTGGTGATACCAATGTTTTCCCTTTTCTAAACATTCTAGAATTCTTGTGTAAGAACAGCTTTTAGATGCTGCAGCATGTTTGATGACTCCTACCACGTGCCAGACATTTCCAGGGTTTCATATTCTCTACAAGATTCCCTACAGGATTTATCTATGGCCTTTAAGCCTGTTTGCAAACAGCCAAAAAGTTATTTAGTGTCAAACCTGATGTTCGAAACAGAAGATGTGTGTTTAAAAAATGCAAGTGGAAGGCTGTTCCAAGGAGAAGTCCTATGCCCAGTCAGTGATGGACTCTCTGAAATCCATATTTACCCCTGTGCCACTGCAGGCTGAGCCACCCTGGCACTCCCTTAGCAAAGCATTAGACTTTCTACTTAGAACCACAAACCTGAATGTAAAAATGCTCTGAGAAGTGAAGCACAAATTTACTCTTTGTGTATGTACAAAAGAAATGCTTTATTAATTAGCTAACATTTATTTACTTTTCCCTGGTCTTATTTCAAAGAAAGATTTAGGGCAAAAAGTTACTGACACTCCATCTCAATCAATAAGCCAGGTGTGGTGGTACATGCCTGTGATTCCAGCTCTGTGGGAGGCATAGGTAGGAGGATTGCAGTCTGAGACTGGCCCTGGGCAAAAACATGAGAGCCTACCTGAAAAAGAACTGAAGCAAAAAAAAAGAGGGGGATGCTGGAAGGGTGGCTGAAGTAAGCCTGCCTGGTAAGTGCAAGAGCCCAAGTTCAAACCACAGTACCACCAAAAAGAGAAGAAAACTAGGAAAAACATTTACAGGAGCTAAGAGTATAGAGTAGCCAGTATGTGCCCAGTATATAGTACAGAGATGCTTAGAACACATCACTTGTTCGTAAGGAACTTACAGTCTGTCTGGAGGTGAGTGTTGATGCCTATAAAGTAGAGAAGGTAAGTGCTAAGGGTACAGGCTCTAAGGACCTGAGCACAGAGAAAGCCTTAGCAGGGAGGTGGGGCTGCACGGAGCTGCGTTGATGGGGTCTGGATTTGTGGATGGCAGAGGGACAGAAAAACTCTCGTTCCCTTTCATCTCCCCACACAGGGTTCTTCAATCTTCCATCCTCTTGACTTTCATCAGATCCCTAGCTAGTGGCCTCTCTTCCTTTCCTGAATTTCATGGGACCCATACTTTCCAGTATTTAATAAAAACTTTGTGATAAGATATTTACAGCATGAAATTACCATTTTAACTATTTTTAAGGGTATAATCCAGTTGCATTAGTGCATTTAAAATGCTGTGGAGCAGATGGGCAGAGTGGCTCAAGTGGTAGAGCACTTGCCTAGCAGGCATGGAGGTCCTGAGTTCAAACCCCAAGAGCACCAAACAAACAAACAAACAAAAAAAAGCTTTTGACTGGCAGAGTGGCTCAAAATGCTGTGCAGCCATCACCCCAATCAATTTCCATAACATTTTCACCATTGTTCCCAGTTTCTCTCTCTCTCTCTCTCTCTCTCTCTCTCTCTCTCTTTCTTTGTGGTACTGGAGGTTGAACTCAGGGCCTATACCTTGAGCCACCCCACCAGCTCTTTTTCATGATGGGTCTCACAAACTATTTGCCTGGGCTTTGAAGCATAATCCTCCTGATTGCTGCCTCTGGAGTAGCTAGGATTACAGGCAGTAGGTGCCCAGCTCCCAGTCTTTTATTCTTATGGCACATTTAGATAAGGATAATATTAAGTCATTGAGGAAGCAGCTCAAGACCTCTAGTGACAGTGTGGGGTTTGCCCTGGACCCCTGTCTGGCCATTCTTATAGCTGAGAGAGTGATCACACCCCTGCCCTTCCAGAAAACTCTGTTCCATCCCTGTTGTGTGAGGGGGAAAAAGATCCAACATATTTCCCTGGATTTTAATAGTTATTAGAGATAAGAATCATTGTAGAAGTCTGGCCCCAAAAGGCTGGAACTTGGTGATCCCTAAGTCTTCTTTCTTCACAGCCCAGTTTTTATCAGGATCCTCAGTTCTTTGTATCCCACTGTCTTAATCCATTTCTGTTGCTATAACAGAATATATAAAACTAGGAAACTCATAAAGAAAGAAGGTTTACTTTGTCTCGTGGCTCTAGAGGTTGGGAGGTCCAAGATCTGATGACCATATCTGGTGAGGACCTCGTGCTGTGTTGTAACATGGCGGAAGTCTGAAGGGCCAGTGGGCCTCTGCAAAAAGTGCAAAACACAAGGGTTGACTTAGCTCTGTAGCACCTGCTCTTGTGACTGTTCTAATCCTAACTCACTACTATGAGCATTAACCCACTCCACAACAGAGATAGTAACCCTCTCAACACCCTACTCACCTCCTAAGGCAGTCACAGTGACCATCAGATTCCAAGATGAGTTTCAGAGGAAACAAACCATAATCCAATCATAGCACCCAATTCCACCCCATCCCACAGGAGTGAGCTGGGGGACAGCTATCTCATTGCTATCACTTTCCAGAAGTTTTGGTGGACATAGACTCAGACACTCTTTTTTTTTTTTTTTTTTCATTTTTCTTTTATTATTCATATGTGTATACAAGGCTTGGTTCATTTCTCCCCCCTGCCCCCACCCCCTCCCTTACCACTCACTCCACCCCTCCCGCTCCCCCTCAATACCAGCAGAAACTATTTTGCCCTTATCTCTAATTTTGTTGTAGAGAGAGTATAAGCAATAATAGGAAGGAACAAGGGTTTTTGCTAGTTGAGATAAGGATAGCTATACAGGGCATTGACTCACATTGATTTCCTGTGCGTGGGTGTTACCTTCTAGGTTAATTCTTTTTGATCTGACCTTTTCTCTAGTTCCTGGTCCCCTTTTCCTATTGGCCTCAGTTGCTTTAAGGTATCTGCTTTAGTTTCTCTGCATTAAGGGCAACAAATGCTAGCTAGTTTTTTAGGTGTCTTACCTATCCTCACCCCTCCCTTGTGTGCTCTCGCTTTTATCATGTGCTCATAGTCCAATAGAAGCCAGGGCCTCACTTGTGTCCAGCAAACACTTCACCTTTCTCAGAGTCCTGTTTCAGGGTTTCCTCCTCTTCCTTCCACTGCTAACCTGTCCTGGTCTTCTAACCTCCAACTGGTCTAGATTCACAAGACCAGACAGATCTTAAATGGAACCCCCCAAAGCCAAGCTGATGGCTGTCTTGCTGTGGGGTGGGGGGAGGCTAGGAAAGAGTTAAAGCACAGTACTGCCTCCCTGTGAGAGAGACTGGAGCAGGGCCGCTCCAAGACTCACCTGGCTTCTTAGCCGTGGACACAAGTTAATAGGTATCCCATGCACCCAAGGGCTCAGCTCCCAAGTTGCTGCTGCCTTTTCGATTGGAGGAGAAGGGGATAAGTGGGTGTGCCGTATTTTCAATAGTCTGGACAGCCGCACACTGCCGTTGAGGTGCCAAGAAGGCTGCTCTTCGTTGCCATCACGCTTTGGATCTAACCCACGACTGAGAGGGTGTTTGGAAAGTAGGGTTTCTGAGCAAAATGAAGTGTGTAGACCTCAGCACTACTTAATCCAGGCTTTAGTGAAATCTGCCTATCACGTGATCATCGGACACAGACTCTTCCTGGTGGCCTGACCTCTTCCCTCTCCTTCTTCAGCTGCACATGGAAGGCTGTTGGTCCAAGCTATCTGCTGGAGACGTGTGAATCTTAAGTCAGAAAGATTGCAGGTGTGTCCCAGTTTGACTGGCTCAGGCAGGGCAGGGAGGCTCCAGCATTTCAATCCACCACTCCTAAAGACTGGCTGAGTTTTCAAATCTGTGCAGCTTGGTGCAAACGTTGTAGGAAACAGAACAAAACTCTTGCTCTTGTGGAGTTGATCGGTTAGCTGTAAGACAGGTTTATGGCCCACTTACAGGCCCTGAATGCTGGTTTCCCTGGGCAACTCCAAAGAGGTTCCCGACTCGCAGATGTAAACCTGAGCTGGGAGACAAAACTGGCTCTTTATGACATGCGTCGGCCATCACGCGTAGTTGCGGGGATCATGTGTTGTATCCTATTCTTCAAGATCTAAGTTCACAGAAAGGACAGAGTGCGGGCTGGAGCAGTCAGAGATGGTGGTTTCTGAGGGAAGAGGATCTTGGGTGAGCCTTGAAGGGTGCTGGAACTGAAACTGACATGGTGGCTTTTTTTTTTTCAGTAGTGGGGTTTGAACCCAGGGCCTCAACCATACTAAGCAATGCTCTACCAATTGAGCCATGCCCCGGGCCCTTTGTTTATATTTTGTTTTTGAGACCTGGTGTCGCTAACTTTTCCTGGACTGATATGGAATTCATAGTCCTGCCTTCTGAGTAGCTGAGATTATAGGCATGAACCACTTGTGCCCAGCGGGGTCTGAGCTTTTAAACACC